GTATTACAACATGTGCCTTAGAGCACTTGGCTGCTTTTGAAGACCTTTATAAGGATTTTGGTGTTGATGAATGTAGTTTATCAAGTGTAGCTTATTTAGCACATGCAGCATTCTCAGTGGCTGATCAACGCTGGGATGAGATAATCCCAAAATTCATATTGCTGAATTAGTACTTGGTCACCTGTGTATATAAGCTTTTATAAATAACAGAGGAAGATAGCAGAAAAACAAAACTTAGTATTACCAAATGTAATCAAATGCTTGTTATTAATGAACATTTTAAAAAATTAAGACTTGTAAACAGTTATGTTTTTGAAATAGAAACAGAGGCAGTAAAAGCTAAATGTTTTCTTCTCTGCTTTCCCTCCATCCACCTCTTTTCTTAAAGAATATTTTTTTTCCTCTGAAGCTGTATTAGCTATACATATTTATAAGACATCCAAGAAGAGTGTGATTCTTTGATTAATGTTTCTAGGACCAGAAGGACAGCCAGCATGCACACACACACACACAAAAGAAAATTCTTAACTTTTTTGTACTGATGTAATATTTCTGTAATGTTTGATCTGTATATGCACTAAAAGTAAATGTAGAATGTCACCCTGAAGGTATCTTGCTGTCAATGGATCATGAATGTCAGCCTTGACAGGTATCCTCTGGTGACATTATAAAGCATATGTGGCTTATTTTAAGGAAAGCTGTCCATACCTTTGTCTTGTCTTGTTGAAATATTCCTACTTTCTCCCTAGTGGCTGTCACTTCATTTTTGTCATCCTTAAGCTGAGAAGTAACTTGTAAAATCTTGTTGCCTGGTTTTAATAATTTTTACCCTTGCAAACTTATAAAAGCCATTACATCTGCCTTAAAAGATACATTATATTTTTACTGATATCTGTAGAAGAAATTACTCGGGTTTTTTTTGTGTTCTTGTTCATAAATTCCAATTATTGCAAACTTTTCACATCAGGTGTTGGGTATCTTCTCTACTTTTAAGCCCAAATCTCTCAAAGATTTGGCTTATTCTGTGACTGCACATGGCTTATTGTGTGACTTTCTATGGACCTTCTCAATTGCCAAGCTTAAATGTGTGCTTTAGTTCTTGTAGGGTCCAAGTCTAGCTCTTTTTTTTAAAGCATGCTGGTAGAGATGCTTTCCAGCACTTGAGGATCCCTGAAAGAGAAACAGGTGGTATTTTTGCTTGCTTCTGTTTGCCAGCTTCCAGTCTATCATATAAAACAAGCAGCTAACATGCTATTGACGATGTGTCAAGGGGAAAAAAAAATCAGATAAATAAATAGAATCTTAAGAGTCAGGTAACTGGATTCCATTGATGTTTTGCCATTCACGAAGTAAATAATTCCAGTAAAACTTTCACTGTCGTTTAATCATAATCATACACGCATTCTGCTACATCTTGCCAAAAGGAAAATGGCCATGTTAGCTGTAATTTGCATTTGCCTGGATTCTTTTATGGATTTCTCTCTAATTATGTGAGTATGTTAATATATCAACAGTTAGGAGACAAATGCCCATGAAGTGCAGGCATAGTAAAGTAAAAGGTGAAGCAATCCAGAGAAAACAAGTTTATACACTATGTTGGCATCCATTTTTAACAGGAAAAGTCACATGTGATGTAATAAAGAATTAGAACATTTTTCATTATGCCAATCCTATATTTGACAGAGGGGCATCAGCAAAAAGTGCACCAAAAAAAGTCTCTGAGAAGTCTCTGAAATCTCTCTCTCCCTGGAATGTAGGTCAGAACTTACGGGGACCTGAATAAATAGATATGGGGAAAGAGGATTTGGAAATGCAAAAGTATGTAAAAATAGAATATGGCCCACCTTAAAGGGAAGGAAATTATTCTATGTGTTTGTTATGAATTACTTCCTACTTAGAGGAAAGAAGAGCAGGCATAGAGGGTGGAGTATATAGCTTGACATACTTAAGAAGTGAGGGACTTCCAGGCCATGATGTAACATAAAGTTTGAAGTCTATCTGTTGTCTCAGTCCTTCCATCAGTGGTGTCAAAATCAGGAGAGGTTTTGTTGTTGACCATTGCAGAGATTCTTTCCTAAGCAGAAAGAGTGACTATTTTTCTGTGGTAAATAGTGCTTGCATGACAGCTAGGATTTAAATGACTCTTGTCTTGTAAAATGATTCACAATTTATTAAAACAACCTAATGAACATCCCTTGAATTCCTGAAGCTGAGTGTACATTTTTATTTTAGCACTAATGAGCTTTGATCAATTAATTTTAGTGATGAGAGTTTAATACCTGGCCTTCATGCAAGGAAAACAAAAATTATTTGTGAGCTTAGCTGTGGTGAAGAGGTGTAAGGTAGGAATTTGCAAGGTGACTGTTGCCTGGCTCTGTGCTGCCTCTGTGCAAACTCAGCACGGAGCATAGGCAGGGTCTCAGGGGTGATGGAGAGCACATGTAAAATACACCTAAGTCCTGTGAAGTCTTCCCCTACTCATCCTTTTAAGGGCAGCAGGCAGAGAGGTGCCAGCTCTAAAGGTGGTACTGTTGTTGAAATAGCCCTGAGACTTCAGATGAGCTTTGTAAAGAAGGATCATGGAGCACTTCTCAAATGTTAATTTAGTTTCACACTAACAAGATAGAAGGCTACTAGTAGTACTCATCATACTTAGGACTGATTGTAGACAGAAGCCATATGATTACCTCATGTACATGAGTATGTGAGTGGTGAGGGCTGGAGTAGCTCTCCCTGTACTACTGTAGTGTATTTATCCTGCTCAGAAATAGGCCACATGCTTTATTGACTGCAGTAATAGGCAGATCTGTATCACTTAACAATCTCTGAACGAATCTCTGCTGCCCACAGGAGCTGAAGTTCCTGCTTGAACATTAACTCATGATTTGTGTGTGAAAATACCCCAAACAAAAGCAAATGGTGGTTCAGCACTTTAGGAAGAGAGACAGATGGAGAGCACAGTGCAGTGTGGTACATTGCAGAGGTCACAGTGGGATAAAAACAATTTCAAACATACATTTCCTGATACTGGATTGTGGCTTCATTTTCCACACTTTAATGGGGTTTTTTAAGACAAAATGGTTCATGTATTTGGATCTGTTTTTTGCAAGTCATGGATGAAAATTTAGGTAAAATGGTGCATGGTTATGTGCTGTATAAAACTCCCTGTAACCTACAGAAGCTGGTTACAGAAGATGAACAGAGGAGTGCATGAGACGAAATCAAAGTTTAAATGTTTTTCTAGGCAGATGTGGATACCAAAGTATGTCACTTAATGGGACAAAATTACTACAAAGTTACAGCATTTCCCTAATGAGTAGGGGGGCAGATACTGCTGACAAGTGGGGAAGACCTAACAAACTTCAATATACGTCCAGGAAAATGCTATTTTAAAATGTAGGTTAAAATTTGTGAACCTCCTCCCTTCAGGCTTCAGTTGTTCCTCCAGTAAGCACATCTGCTTACTTCAGACACAGTAAGTAGTGTCTGAAGGTCCTTTAGCTTTCTGCACTCCTGAAGTCTGCAGGGGAAGCAGCTGCTTATGGACGTTTCTGGTGCTAGCAAGGACACACTGCCAAAATGCCGGTGAAGTTAACCAACAAGAAACACCTGGAAGAGATCATCCAAAACCAGAACTAGTGCTCACTAAATGTACGAATGTGGCTGGAGCAGGCAAGATGGTTCTTGGGGGGCATTTGCCCCAGAGGTGGCACAGTGGCTCGGGCAGCTGGTCTAAGTGCCAGTGTGGCAGCTTTCTTGTGTGGCCCTGCAGGCTGAAACATTAGTGTTTCACCAGGCATCTTACAGAAAGCAGCATCCTAAAATGCACTGTGGCCTTGCAATTAGAACGTTTGATTCTTTCTGTGCCCTTTTCCTGAGGGTGAGCAACACAGCCTCTTCTGGCTTTGCCTATGGGACCAGGGCTTATGCTGGTGCTTTATCCTGCTGGTGAGAAACTCATATAAGACTACATCAAATTTATTGGCTTTATTGGATAAGATGTATCTGGCTAACCACTCTTAAGTATGTTTTGATGTTTGTGTTATTTTCTTGGAAAACTAGCCATGCTCCTGTCAGGATTGCCACTGATACTGCACTATGCTAACAGAAGGCTACAAGGGACCAGGCTCTGTGCTAGCAGCACTTGCTGTGTGCTTCAATACTTTGATGTAATGTGCTGGTTTTATTTGTTTATATATATTAATTTGTCCTTTAGTTGGGTAGCACATCTCTTAAGTCAACCCTTAAACTGATACTTTGCATGCGTTAAGCATGAATTTTTATTAAGATGTAGTTCTGAGGTATTTTTTTAGATATGGACACACCCACAACTAAATATGATTTGTCTTCTGCATGCACTTGGCTCAGCACATGGTTTTTGTTTCCTGTGCAGTACTTTGAAAATGTCAGCATAACTATCTCTGGTTGTTTGCTTCAAATCTGTTTATTAAAATTCACTTATCTTAGGGACTCAGATTTCCCTATTGCACCTTTTAATGGCACTGGACAAATCCTTAGCTCATAGTATCGTGGGGCTCTGTATCAATACTGGTGTATATAAGTGCATTAACATGTGAGTGGTTGGTGATATGTTCCACTGTGAGAAAGAGGGATGTCCTGACGTTGACATTTGTAGTGGCAAAATATGAAAAGCTGCAATGGATATATGTGTGAGAGAGCTGTGGAGTCACTCACTTGGCTAGTGAAGGACTTCTCTGCCATCCTTCAGACAGGGGCACATTTGAGAGCTGGCTTAGCTGACATCCTTACTTCATGCTCTTAAATTGTGTACTGGTAGTTACTTTAGGCATTACGTGGAAGTGTTAAGAATGCATAAAGTACATCCATGCTTATATCAATAATTGGAATAAATCTCTATCTAATATCTTGCCAGAAAATTCTGAGAGTCTTGCATGGGTGCCTCATATATTTGCCACTGGTTTGATGGTCATTTATGCCTGAGGGTTTGTTGTGAATTTATCCATATTTTTGCATGACAGGTCACAGTAATGAAAGGCAGTAGTAGGAATAAGGATCACTCAACAGAAGGTGAAGGAACTGGGAAGCGACCAAAAAGGAAGTGTCTTCAGTGGCATCCCCTGCTGGCCAAGAAACTCCTTGACTTCTCTGAAGAGGAAGAAGAGGAAGAAGAAGAGGAAGATATTGATAAGGTAGATTTAATTGGATGCTTTCACCCAAGATGGTTAATGGTGGATCAGATTCTCCCTAGCTGTGTTCTATATTTTGTGTTGTCTTGTTCTCTTCTGTGAAGAAACAGCCAATAAAAAGTGATGCAATGCGGTGCCCATAAGGTTGTAAAGGCAAGAAAGTGAGTTGTTAATCATGCCTTTAAAATAGTGGACAAATTTTTGTAGATTGGAATAGTATTATCGGCTTTGTTTTAATAATGTGTTGCACATCCTAATCTTGATTGCTCAAAGTGGGTTTTTGATGTTCTTTTTTTTTTTTTTTTTTTAATTGCTTATTTTAGACATGACTTTGGCTTGTGCCTGGTATCTGCTTCTAGTGGCTCTAAAGAGCATACCAAACTAAAAGTTTTCATTCTTCTTTGTTTAAGATTAAAACTGCAAAGATTAAAAAGGGAAAAAGAAGGAGAAAGCTGTCTACAATTTTTACTATCTTTGCATGTGAAATTCAATTTATCTTCCAGAGTACTGAGTGCACAGTGGAAGTAATCTGTCTCTGGTTTGACACTTGGTATTTTGGTATTGTTCAATGACACTGACCTTACCCTTTTTTAATGCCATTTGGCACCTCACACTTTTCCAGTTAGAGTCATTCTCTGTAACAAGAAGTGGGAACTGTTTATGCAGACGTGATGATTCCATCATGTGGATGGCATTCATATCTGTATCTCCTTGGTGCCTTCCTAAGGCAGGAATGGAAAGGTCAGTGTTGAGGAGACTGCCTTGAGCCATACACTGAGAGGGTGACCTTGACAAGGGTAAACAAGAGCCTGATTCTCTGATGGTGCTTTCTGTTGATCTTACAGGTCCTTTCACACATGGTATAAAACAGCAGCGTCGCCGTTAGGTAGGAGGTGTTTTTTTGTCTCATGCAGTAAGTTCTATGGCTCCTCCCTTGTAGGAATACTAAGCTGGCCTGTAAGTGGAGAAAGCACATTTTGGCAGCGCTCTCTTGAGATGTGCCCTCTGCCTCTGCTGGACAGCTTTGTGGTGGCTGCACTGCTGTGCTGCTCGCAGGTTGAGCAGTAAGCAGCAGGAGATGGGGAAAAACAATGGACAAACTAACAAACTGTTAACTTGTTTCTCCTTGTGTGCTCTGTAGTTGTGAACATGAATAATCAAGGTCCAAGGTAGCTCTGGTTGCCTCATCCCACTTAGATGATTTCTAGGTTGTCAGAAGGAGAGTAGGAAGGATCTTGTCCCTCCAACCCCTTTAGCACTGTTAGTAGAGAATGGTCCTCAGCTTAGAAATTTTTCCACTTGGAAGTTGGCGTTAAGTCTTGCAGAGAGCATGAATGAACCTGGGACCATCAGGTGAGGAGGTTTGATGTGGAACTCTGCACTGTCTGGATGCAACGGATGGCCTTTGGAGACAGCTGTGTGCATCCGTGTGCCTCTCCCTCACTCCCATACAGCGCACACAGTCTCAGTCTTTGTGCAAAATGCGGATAACTGAGCTTACACCCCTTCCCTTTCGGTTCTGCCAGGTGCCGCTCCTTGGCCCTGATGGTTTAGAGCAGGATGCTGATGAGACTGAAGATGACGAGTCCTCAGAGCAACGAGCTCGCCGACCAATGAATGCGTTTCTCTTGTTCTGCAAACGCCACCGCTCTCTTGTGCGGAAAGAACATCCTCGCCTCGATAATCGTGGCGCAACCAAGATCTTGGCAGATTGGTGGTCTGTTCTAGATCCAAAAGAAAAACAGAAATACACTGACATGGCCAAGGAGGTATGTTCTGTCTGAATGGTCGATGTAAAGGGAGTTCATTACGTATTGTCTTCTTTTTCTCTGTGTATTGAATGTTTTCTGTGGGATCTTTCTCTTCTCTCTGTTCCTCAGCTTCACCATAGGATTATGGTGCCCAGAGCAGCTCCTTTTCTTGCTTTAATTCACTTGATCCTTTGGACCAGAAGGGAAAGCAATTGTTCTGTTTACACAAACTAACCTGGTTCCAGTAGTCATTGTTACAATTATATGGACTTTGTGATTGTATGGCCTGATAATTTCTGCAGTACAAGCATTAACACAAGGATAGTGACCATTGTAAACACTAACATACAGTTCCGTGTCAGCTGACTAGTGATACTTACCTGTGCATTCTCAGTCGGTGATGACAGCTACTGGTGGACCAAACCAATGGCACAGTCAAGAAATGTAGTCCCTTTTTACCTTTGATGCTAATGAATTAAAAAATTACTAGTGTTTCTTGAAGTACATTCCCCATTAACCAGTTTCTGATTAAGCAAGATTTAGTGAGCCCAATACCAAGTCAGAGAGCAGTGCCTAATCAGAGTACGTTAACCAGGAGCAAGGAAAGGAGATTTATCCCTGTATTTCACAAAGTATATTTATGTGAACTTAAAATTCAAATGAGCCTTTTTAAGAAATAGCTTTCTTGATAAGCTGTTGCCAAGAAGGCTGTGGTTATTGATAGTAGAGTGAGAAAAACACAGCCAATTAATTAGGCTGATAACCTGGCCCCAAAACAGATCCCTGTGACTACCTGTATGATACAGATTGTGGGTAACCTTTGAATTCAATCTTAATAAAAATAAAGGAACAGCAGTGAGAAGGAAAAAAAATCTCTCTCCTTTTTTTGAGTATTTTTTTGCTAACACACTGTGGGAAGTATAGATGGCTGTGAAATGATTGATATGACCCATGCCTGCCCTGGGATCTGAAGTGTCTGCTACTGTTAACAGGCTGTTAGGTCTGATTGTTCAGTAACTCATGTAAACATGGAAAGGTCCACAAGAAAAACAAAGTGTTTAGCATGGCAGGTCCTTTTTAAGTGGGGTCTGTAGGACCTCTGTAGTTTCTCATCTGGGACACAGTATAGAAACACTTGAGTCTCAGCTTTGTCCAACTATTCCAGTTTCATTCTGCATTCCCTGCTTACGAATTAGTGATATTTCTCTAAATGTCTGGAGAAAGGGCAATTAGAAGATTCAGTACAAATGCAGAGAAAGGAAAGATGAGAATAAAGAAATAATTTTTGGAAGAAACAAACCCAATGCGACTGTTTTTCTTAGCCTTTTATCTTGCTGAAGGAAACTTGTTCATTAAGAAGGAAAATAATTGCAGAACTTCTGTATGAAGTGACAGATCTGAAACCATTAATCATATTGTTATAGAAATCATTGTTCTTGTAGTGATTTTTTTTTTGGCATGAAGAACAAATTGAATATTCAACATCAAAGCAGAACAATAAATCTAAGTAGTTTACATCATTATAAGTAGTACTAAGACTATGAACTAGAAGAGAGATAGCATATAATTTTTATTCTTTAAACAGTGTATGTTACAGCAATAATGAGCAGCTATAATGTGCTGTTGAATCCATTTGGGCCTTCTTCACAACAAGCCTATTCTGTGTGCCAGGATTGGTACTTTTATTGTAACACTTGCTTTTCACAGAACCACAGAATGGTGGGGGTTGGAAGGGGGGCTTCTGGAGATCATCTTGTCCAACCCACTGCTCAAGCAGGTTCACATAGAGCAGGTTGAACAAGTTCACCTATAGGTAGGCTTACTGCTGAGACTGTCAAAAAGAGGTTAATGTCAACTGTAGTGAGAACCACCTGTTGGTACTTTGCTTTTTCCTAAAGAGAATTTATTTAGAAATCAAGGTGAGTGTCTTTGAAAGAAAATAAAAATACCATTGTACCAATGGTCTTCTGTTTGAGTACCTGTATAAGCTCACTGAGATTTAAGATACAGTGAGTAATCTTCTGTTGCTTAAATGTAGCTTTTCAGTGTCCTTTGACTTTCACTGCACAGCCTGTAGCCACTGTCCTGGCTGGACACACATCTTCCAGGGAACCCTCTGTCATGTCTGCTAACCCTACAATGTTTCTTGTATACCCTGAGCATCCTAACCACTCCTGCAGAGATACATGTGGGCCTTACAGAAGTGGTCCTTCCTGCAGTGGCTACAGTCCCTGCTCTTCTACAGTCTCTAGAATGTTTTTTTACTACTTGTTGCTATAGCTCCCAAAATCATTTAGGTTAGATCACGTGCCATGCAAGAAGCTTTCAGTTTCTTGCTTGCTTAAGACTAGCAGTGATATTACCTCAGCAGTATGCATGTAAAGGCACTTGTATATTTACTTATATATGTGTAGCTGTATGCAAGATGCATCATTTTGGGAGATAGTGAGGCACCCAAACTTTTTGCTGGCTGGAGTTATGAGAAGTTTCCTAGTAGGTAAGGTACCTTGGGTTACCTTCATTATCAGGAAAAACTGGCCCCACATTCCCTCTATTTTCCATCTTGTGGTTTCTGGTCTCTTTTAGCAACAACTGCCCTGGAGACCTGGTGGTGCACCTGCAGAGCTTGATGTCTGCTTTTGCTGGTGTTACTTTATTAGTAGGCTTTCTATTTCTACCCTGCAGGCTTCCTAGATAAGCTTAAATTTGAAAGTTTCACTGTCTAGGATATAAGCCCAGTAGTTGATACATACTCAAAAGGGGAACCAGAAGTGTTGCTGTATGTTTTAGCATTTTCCTTCACTGAGAGAAATTAATCTGGCCACTCATAAATATGCACCAGCATTTTTATTCACTTCGGTAATAAGGGTAGTGTTCTTCTGTTAACTCTTACAGGACTTCCTGGGAGTGTTCAGCTGCCTTAGGAAGTATCTGATGAGATTGTTACTGTTCAATCCCTATTCCCTTGCTAGAAGATACTTCGTTTTTAAATATGTCTTTGCAGCAGCAAGAGCCAGGTAGTCAGGGTTGTTTCCCGTAGGGAGCAGCCTGATAAATGTGATTAGACATTGGAGTGGACTGACCCAGAGGGTAGTGGAGTCACCAACCCTGAAAGTGTTTAAGGAAAGGCTGGACATGGCTCTGAGTGCTGTGGTGTAGCTGGCACAGCGTGTTGGTCTGTAGGCTGAACTCAGTGATCTCAGAGGTCTTTTCCAACCTTGCTGATTGTGTGATCCTGCTGCCATTCAGTGGCTGAGCTGAACACTTCTCCCTGCTGGTCCTTGGCCAGTGGTGTCTCAGGTCCAGTCAGCCACACTGGGAGCTTGCTGGCCTTGTGGTGCCACTGCTTTGGCAGCTCCTCAGGGTAGGAAGGGACAATTGTCCTGGCTTGCTGGCTGGAGTTCGGCAAGGCCAGTGGTTGATGTATGGACTATAACATGTGTAATGCAAACCCTGCACCCTTCAGGAGTGAAAAATGAACTGCTGTATTTTCTAGGGAATTTTTTTTAATGTTAGGTCTCTGGGATTCATGTGACATTAATAGCATGCATTTAAAATTAAACACGTGCTAACAGCTAGCCTGAGGTGTAGCTGAAATCCACTTGTGAGCTCCTGTTCCTACCACAAATAGAGGAAGCAAATCTTTTTTTATTTGGTGATGAAAGCATCTTGGGGAGTTTTAAACTCAGTTCTGAAGGGGCACCAGTCCTGCTGCATAACATAACATTCTCCAGGCTTTCACAAAACAGAAATAAGGCATCAGACCAATCCCACAAACACTTCTTGTTCTATTTCTTACCTGAAACTTCAGAACATGACTGCTGGGCAGTCCCTGCCATTTGCTGTGGAAAGCAAGGTGGTATCTTTCATTCCAGGTTAGGTACTTATGTTTGGGTTGGGTTTTTTTGTAGTTTTCTTTGCTTGGTTTGGTTTGCTTGGGTTTTGGGGCTTTTTTAATCAATTTTAGACATCTGCTTAGACTGCTGTGTTAAGTTGCACAGTTGGTGAAAGGGAGGAAAGCAGTAGATTACACTCTTGCCTTTGACTTTTTCATGTTACTTTGTAGCTCATTTAATTTATCTTCTCATGACCTGGTAAGCAAAATCTATCTGTTTGTTTTGGGCCTTGGTCTAGTAGTCACAAAAGTCAATACCAAGAGGGTTTTTAAGATTTAGATCAGGCCCCTGTATGCATTTATGTAAAGTACTTCTTGGCCATTGTTTAACTTTTTAAATATTCTCTTTTTTTTTTTATTTTATGTGTTGAAACTGAACAGTTCCAATGAGTTGTCCTCCCTCGGTTTGCTCCTTTGCCTTCAGAAACTGCAGTTAATGTTCACTTCTTGGCTTTGCAGAGAAAAAAAAAGACATTAATAGACCAGCTCACTTGAATTACTCTTGTTGAAAACTGATTAAAAGCTTATTGCAGCTTCATCTCACAAATGGCATGCATCCTAGTTCTCATTTGATGGGCAGCCTGTCGGCTTGTCAAATTACTCAATAGAATAATTCAATTACTCAAAGCAGCATTGCTGATATGAAGAGCTTATGTAGCTCATTGCTAGCGACTCTATGCTTTTCACTCTGCAGGCTGGTAACATGATTTGTGAGTGGGCTGTGGCTTTAACAATGGAAGGCAAAGCTGCTTTGTCGTGTATTTCCTTTCCTCCTCTTCCCTTACCCTCCCCTTCCTATCCCTTCCCTCCACCAGGCTATTTTTGTGGTGTACTGAGCTCCCAAAGCAAACCGAGGGAAAGGGAAAAGGAGTGAGGCGAGCAGTGTTGCAGTCCTTACTTTGCAGATTTAATACATACACCCTATTCAGAAAATACAGCATGTATGTGGGTCAGTGATCCCTGCAGATTTTTATTATTTATAGCCATTCCTATAATACAGGACTTCCCACAGCAGGGTTCACACAGTGCCGTGTTTCTTGTAAACTGAAACATTTTTATCTCTGCTACAGTCTGGAGGTAGCAAGTGCCAGCTCAAAGGTGAAGATAGAAATGAAAGAAAGCAGTAAACATGCAATGGTGACCCTGCCACAAGGCAGACTGTTCAGCTGGGAAAACACTGTAGTGGCTCTAGCAGAGGACAAGGCTTTCAGTGCTATTTCTGTATCTGATGCCCAAGGGATTGTTTTTCCTCTCTATGTTTCTGTGCATGCATGTGCATGAAACATAGGTGCTTCTCTATGCCATGACCAGGACTGATGGCAGCTGTGTGGGTGGGAACGTGTAATCACAGAACAAACTTCCTGCATCTGCCCTGCCGTGTGCTTCCAAGCACAAAGCCGCTCTTTTGGTCTTGTGCTGCCCCTGGGAGCTACCCAGTCATGAAGGGGTGTTGGGTTCCTTCTCCCTGTGCTGAGCACTGGTACTGGCTGGGTAGGCTCCCACAGCAGCAAGTGCTGTACACCCCTATCAGTTGTTAGGCAAACATCTGCAGCTGGAATGTGTGGCATGTTCCTCTGATTTGCCAGTTCTCAACTTTGCACAGTAGCAGATGTAAAATACTGAAATGCGGTCTTTTTTTTTACTGTTAACGTTCAAAAATCTTGGTTTAATGTTTGGTGTTTTGTGAATAAAATAGATCCTGGTCCTTTCCCCCACCTCCCAAACTGTGGGATCCAAACCCTTTCTCCCACTGCCCATGTGTAGTTTGGCTTCCTTTGTTTTGCTGCCTCATACCAAAAACACAGCAAACAACTGAGATGTGTGCTGGGTGCTCAAGGCCAAAGAGTGTTTTAGATGGTCACAGTTTGTTTTATGCAGCCAATACAGCGCGGTACATTTTGGAAGGAACACTGGGATGGTGTTATCACAGGACACTGAATATGACATTATACTGGTTGCAATTTGGTTTTGGTGCCTGGTTTGGGAAAGCATATACTCATATTCTAAAATACAGAACTATTCAAGAATTAGTGCAAGTTAAGGCATCATGCTGCATTTATTGCTAAATGTGGGTTTTTATTTAATTCAAACTAGAAAGAAAACCTGCAAATAATTAAAGTACCTGTTTCTCAGAGCATGAGCATACAAGCACTGGGGAGCAGTTGGCAGGATCAGAACTTCAGCCTGCTCTGGGTAATAAACCCTCAGGAGAGGAAAGAGAAAACCCGCTTTTTAGATACAACTCTCCTTATCTTAATACTTCTTCTTAGCAAATTGTGTTGGTGGTTGGACTCTAAGCATGTGATTAAACTGTTAAAAAATCAAGATATTTAAGGATTAGTTACTGTATTAAATCCTCTTACATGCAGTGTGCTCTGGTTGCCCTGTGTAGAGTATCATGTAATGACTGGTAATTTCTCTTTTCTTTTCTAGTACAAGGATGCATTTATGAAAGCAAACCCAGGGTACAAGTGGTGCCCCACAACCAACAAACCTGTGAAAACCCAGGCATCCAGTGTTACAAACAGGAAAAAGCTATGGGCCATTGCATCAGACTCTGCAAAAGACTTACCTAGCCCAAGGAAAGTAACCAAAAGTGAAGAAATGCCACAACTTAACTTTGGGATGGCAGGTGAGATTCCCATCCATGGTACTCAGCTGTAGCTCTGGGGATGTGGTATTGAAACTGAATTGGGATACCTGATTTCTTTCCTACACATGGTCCTGTAGTGTCCCAGAGTAGTTTGCCAAAACTGTAGTTAAACCTCTGTGTATCAGTTTTCTAAAATTTTCCGTAGTGCATGATTTATTTTCAAGATGTGAGGCATCCTAACTCTTAACCTCTGTAGGGCCCAGATTTGATTGATTTTTTTATTCCAGTTTATCTGCTGTCAGAGACTTCCATTCTCTGGTTACTCTGGTTAAAAAGGAAAGTGCTGATTGTGTGCATTCTGTTTCTCTGTCATAGAACGCTGTACTCTTTTAAGTAATTTACTCTTTGCAAAAAAAAAAATTATGGGTGTCTCAAGTTATATATGATAATCTTGTAGATTAATGTTTTAGTGGGACTAACACTTTTGTATTTTCATCAAGGGAAGCATAATTTAATTTCACTTAAATGTGCTCTTTTGCCCATTGTATCTCAGAGGAGCAAATTCTAAACTTCTAAACATTTGGAAAAAAAATAAAAGAAACATGTGAAGAAGTATAGGTGGAGTGCCTGAGCTGGTGAAAAGCAGATAATCTCTCACTGATATCCATAAATAGCAGAACTGTTGTAATCATGACCTTGAAATACAGGGACATTAATGTTAAATACTGGAAGCTTAAGAACCTAGCAGTCAATGTTAAAAAAAAAAATAAAAATTCCCTGCCATTGTTTTTTCCTTTTGTTTCCCTTGGGGTTTTTTGTGTTTTGGGGTCTTTTTTGGTTGGTTGGTTGGTTGGTTTATTTTTTTGCTTGTTTAAAGTTTCAGATGCATGAGTAGTTATAAAATTAGAAACTGTGTCATATCCTACCTGGTTTATGACAGGTGTGTAGCAGATAGGACTTCTCTGCTTAGAGAGATTGTGAGCTGGAGAGTAGAAAATGGTTTTATGGAGCAAGTTTAAAAGAATGAAAAGGAATAAAGAGGCATGTATATCTTAGTGTAGTGCTATGAAAATGCCTGTAATGAAATTTCTTCTGGCTCTTAAGGAACTGTGAAATGTGATCAAAATAAGTGTTTCATGCTGCATAGTTCTGATATACGGGAGAGCAGTTCGAAAAATCACAAACCCCCTTCAGACCATTCTGCTTTTGCTTTTAGAGGAGTCATTTCTATGCTCCTTAAATATTTATTGACTTAACACAAAGAAAAAGTAACAAGCCTTAATCTACCTCTCATCCATTCCCCAGTGGTCCTGCTGGGCTATCCTAATGTCAAGTTTTTGCGCACAGAGGTCTTGAATCAACACCTGTCAGAGTAGGGGACAGAGAAATTAAGAATTGATTAGAAACTAATCCATTGTTCTATTTATAGAGCCATTTATTTCTGAAAAAGTCCTTTAGTGCTACCTGTGATAGTTTGGTTGGTTTTTTTTTTTCCTGCAGGCTGAGTCAATGAGCGTAGTAATTCATAGGATCTTGCTCCAATCCTCATGCCAGTGAAGGTTGGCAATATCTTGGGTATAAGAATACCTTATAAAATAAAGACAGCTTCTGACAGAGATGTTAGCAGCATCCACATCATGACAAGTGTACCATGCCAAATGGATTACTGCTTTGTCAACTATATACCAGTTCACGCTATATATGTTTATTGGGCTCTTCTCTGCTTGACTTCAGATGATAGTTCAATTCCACTCTCACCCTTCTCCCCAGTACAATCTCTTTAAAATCCAGGCTGTATACTATCTGATGAACTGAAATGTAGCTGAACCACCTCAAAAACACTTTTACCTTTGAAATGCCACTGATTCACTTGTATCTTCAAGGCAGGTAACTTCCTCAAGACAGGGTTTATACAAGTCTAGAATCATGCCAGGAAATCTGTTTTGTTTGTTGGTCATTGCTAATCATGTCTTGATTGCTTTTTGTGTACTATATTTTACTTTGGAAAATCTAATATGTAGACAGTAAGATCTTACTTTGTTTTTGTAACTCCCATACAAGCTGTTTCTGTCCTTTTTTTTTGGCTTTACAAGAATAACCATGCCACATTTAAGTTCGTTATGCTGACCTATATTATATCAAGAAACTGAGGTATGGCATCAGCGTTGGGCTTCTGACCTGCAGACCCACTAGTGGTGTCCTTGATCATCCAGCTGGGAAGCTGTAATTGAGCATGTTTTTCTCATGATATGGCTCACCTGTGTAGGATGTGGGGCAAAGAGCACTGCTGTTTGCAAAAGCTTTGCCATACAAATGTGTGAGATTCACAGTACTTGCATATTTTTGCTTCAGAAGAAAACCATCCATGCCAAAATGCTTTTTAGTGAGGCAAGGAAGAAAGACACTTTTAGAGTAGGCTATATCCCTATAGAAACACAGTTTGTTTTTCAGAAAGAAGCTCAATTATGCACCCAGGTAAAAGTTGGTTGAAGCTAGTTCCTGCTGGCCTTCTTCCTGCTTAGTACTTCCTCAGTTTGTTGTTTCCTCTGACAGAGAAATGATGAACAAGCCAGCCTGCTGAGTCTGTAACCAGCCCAGTACTAACAAAGTATGTCATTCCCAAACAGAGAGATGGTTTTAAGTTTCATCAATATTAAAAGCTGTTGAGAAAGTCACGAATCGCCTGCCATTCTGCAAGTCAAATGTGTGTGCTATTTTCCCAGTACTGTTGATTTAAGAATAAATTCTGTAAAATATCCCTTAAAATTCTTCTACATACCAGTAAGCTCCTAGTGCCAGAAGAGAATATTATTGTGCTGAGAAGGCAGTATTTGGATATGTACATTTTGTCTTCCCTTAGGTGAAGTTATTTTGTAATTGAAAAACTTAGTAGAAGGATTTTTGTTTTTATCATGAACAGACATCTAAGCACCAACCCTCTGCTACAGCTGCAGCTTAAGTGTTCAAGTTGTTTAAGCATCACATTAAACTTTTGTTTCTAATTCATCTGTCATTTTTCCTTCCTCCTAATTTTTATATTTAAATAAACAGTTTAAGTATTTGCTTACTTAGGGAGAAAAACACTAAACCACACTTCCATCTTTATTCTCTTATGATAAGCTACTTAATTGAAAGGCAGAAAGCCAAAACTACCAAGAAGATATTTAGAAGAAATGCAATAATTTTCCAGTTGTAAACTGGGTGTTCTTGAGATGGCCAAAGCTGGGGAGGGGGAAAAGGACCAACAGGTAAGGATAATAAAACACAAAAGAGCAGCTGGGAGTCATCAGGGTGATGCCTGCATGAGAAAGTGCTATACTGCAGTTTGTCAGGCAGTGTTTTCAGGACCCCCCTCATCTGATGTGGTTGCACTGCTGGTCATCCATATACAAGAAAGACAAGCTGCACCTGGGATAACTGCAGAGGAGAGCTGTAGGAATTGCTGAAATTATGGGCGATGGATGTGCTTTATGACATTGGGAGATCTTGAATTGTTTAGACCAAGAAAACAAGTGGAAGAAGAGTAGGAAAAGTCCTGTAAATGCAGAAAAGGGAGATACCATTTAGGGAAACAGTTACTAATCTTAGAGATGCGAGTACCAGAAAAACATGTACTACCTGGCCTTGAGGATATTTAAGCTAAAACCTGGAAGAAAGCCCTTAATGCTTAGAAGATTTTTATCCTGCAAACATCTTCCAAAGGGAGTAAAGAAATAGAAAACAGCCAGCCAAGGCCTTACTGTTTAATATGGGGCTCAGTAAGTTTATGGAGGACCTGGAGATCTCTTCCAGTCTCTCCCTCCTCCAAATCAACTGCCTGCTCAGGCATTATCTTTCAAGATATGTGTTAACTTTTCACTTCCTAATTGCTCTGATGTCTTCTGGTTTGAAGGACTGAATGGTTTCTGATCAGCTGCTTGGATGGCAAAAAGTGTTGTAGCTGATAGGATCACTTCACTTGTGAATTGTGTTTAGATACTTACTGGCCCTTCACATTTTCTCATTTTCTGTGTCTCTTCCTCTTACTAGATCCTACACTTCTGCTACTGCCTTGTCTTTTCATAGAAGTGTGGGGTTTTTTTCCTTTTTAATTTAAAAAGGCAAACTTCTTCAAAAAACCTAAAACCTCTAAAACACATGTGTTCTATGTGTTTATTGTGGTGAAGGAAAAAGTTAATTCCAGTTGAATACTGGGTTTGAAGCTAGGTGCTAATTTAGGATGCCTGTTTAATACTGTTTAATAATATGCCACTCTTCTATCCATGAGGTAGTGAATGAGCCTGGTTTATTTACATTGTTTTCCTCTGTTTCTAAATAGAAACCCTTCTAAAAGACTATTGGAAAAACTTACCTTGGGAATGTTAGTGAGAGATGTTGTGTGCAGGAAAACTTTGGGCAGCATCTGTGATATTGAATTAAACAGCATTGATGAGTATTCCCATGAATTGGACTGTGATCATCTGTAGCCCTAAACTGTTTGGAGGTTTACAGGTACAGGTTTGGCCCATGTCAGCTGAAAAGATTAAAAAAATCCACTCACATTGTGGCTGTTGCATGAGACATTTGGCCACTGTGTCTCCCTGTCTCTACATGACAGTGTTAAATCAGGCGCCTGCATTGCTCCCAAGGCATTCTCCCAAAATCAGACAATTAGTCTTCATAGTGATGAAGAGCAACCACTGTTCTGAGTGGAAAAGCTACTCCATGAGTAATGCACTGTCAGAGTTTATTGCTTTCACTTCTTGTCATTTTCTGAGCTCCTGAGGTGCAGGAAGGCTAGAGGGAAAAAGCTGTCAGTACCAAATACTTGGAGAAAGAACATTTATATCTCCATTTTACATTCCTCAATTATGTATTGTATTGGCAGGGCAACAAGTAGGCAGGCAGCTTGCCTGGCCAGTGCTTGTGCTGTTCTGGCTTCATGCTTCAGAGCTGTCAGGCTGGCACTTTTCACCACTAAATACAGCTCTAAATTATAGACAAATGAAAATAGAAATTTTGCTTCAGAGCTTGATTGTGTTGTTTTGTTCCATCCTTTTATTTGTTCAGTTGCCAAGGAAGGAACCGCTTCCTTGGTAGGAGCATCCACCAACTTACAAACCTGAGCATTATTAGAACATCTTTGTGTATATTTATGTGTGAGATCATTGCAGTTGCTGTTTTAAAGATATTCATCTCTGTAGTACATAAAACCTTTGGCAGTAGAATTGTAAATCCATGCAATGGGGTGTTAAGCACACAAATCCAATTAAATCCTTCAAACAGCTTTGAAAGCTTTCCCAGAGGGTACAGAAATGGTTATTTGTGATTCTCTTGAACTGCCTTTTATGGCAGCTTGCTGAGAGTGTCTGTGACAAATAGTCTTCTGGGTCTTTAGTGGTGCAAGTGGTAGGTTTTTCAAACAAGCAAATGAATCAACTTAAGACTTCGTTTTATTCTTCTAACAGATCCTACACAAATGGGAGGCCTGAGTATGCTGCTTCTAGCAGGGGAACATGCACTTACTGCACAAGAGGTAAGGAACTCTCTTCTCTCCCTTACCATGAGCTCTCAGTCTAAAGAGCTTGTAAGCGGAATATTTGACCAGTGAGGAATTAAAAGTTCAGGACACACCTCAGGTAACTTCAACTGGGAATGAAATGTGTGTCTTGTATCCCAGCTGTGAATGTGGGTTGAGCATAATTTAGTATTAACTCTGCTGATACTTGAACATACCAGTCAAGCCTGGCCTATGAAGAGAGGTAAAAGGGTTGAAATACTGTGTTAACAAACAGTTGGTTTGCAAACTTTTCTGGGCAGGGATTCTATATGCTTGTGCAATGGCACACAACTGTGCAAAGGCCACACAACTGTGGCCTTGTCACTAACAGATGAATAAACAAGTAATTTCCTACAAAGTCAGCATCATTGTATATACATTCTGAAACCCTGCAAGTGCTAACAGGTAATTGAAGTATTGCAGTCTGCTCCTATTCACTAAATCATTATGTCTAAAAAGAAGTTTGTAGTTCAGTTGCCATCCCAAATGTGTTTTTACAAAGGAATCTAGTAAGTGTTTGTGTATATCTCCAGTAGTGCAGAGATCTCTGGTCCTTCTTTAGATTAATATAATCTGGTTTTTAGGCCAACTTTGAAAACTGTTCAAAAGGTGGCTTCTTTGTTGGATATAGTAAGTAGTACTGCCATAAATCTCTAGCTCTAGGAAGGAACTCTCTTTTGGTGTTGTTGTTGGTTTTATTGGGAGGAAAAGTAATAATTAGCTTAATCTATATGTGTAGTGCATTTGAGATGTATTGCTTCTGTACTGCCAGGGCTCCTCAATGCTTTGCACACCAGTTTTAGCCATGGAAGTTTGTGCTGTGTGGGTACTGGCCTTCTGTGCTGCAGCATGAAAAATAAGAAACATTCAAGCCAAGTTGACAGAGAAATGAAAAGAAATACATTATTTTGTGCTAAAATTATACTGTCCTTCTCAAACTTGTAGTTTCTCAGCTTGGAGCATACAAGCTGCTTTTACTATGCTGTTATGTTTAAATGTGAGGGAAGGTATATTGTAGTCACAGATATTGCATTCCTTTAAAAAAGGTCTTTGCTATGACCTTGAGAGCTGAGGTGACTTGATTCTACAAGAGCCTCAGTAGTATGATTTCAGATGGCAGTGTAGGAACAAAATCCACATGTAGATTTAGAGTCAAATCAAAAAGCATGTTGTGTGATTGTTTTAGTGCATAAAAGTTCTTTTAATCAGAACTTTCTTATTTTGAGCAAAAGACATGTTTCCTGTGTGCCTCAATAAATCCTGGTTTTCTCAATAGAAGTGTGCAATACAACTTGTGATGAAATATTCACTTTATGTATAAACTACACTCTACTCTTCTGGGCCTGTAGTCTTCTTTTGAAACCTGGCCCTCCACATCAAAGAAGCAAGCTGTGTAATCTGCTTTCCCCAAAAATGTAGAGCAAAATAATTGTCATAAATACAGCCCAGACAAAACTAGTTGGGGGATTGCTAGAGTTGAGATGAGCCATAATGTAGCCCATACTTAATAATGAATTACCGTATTTTAATTGTCCTGCCCTACCTGAGAAGTGGTTAAGGGACAGTGCACTTTCCCAGGAAACTGCACACCTCTGATTCTTTTTGAGGGTCCCCTTTGTAAAATACCTCCTCCAGATCAACTGGGGAGATTGGTATTCTTAAAGAGACGCAAATGAACAAAGTTCAGTCCTCCTCATTGTGTGTTTGCAGGAGTTAAGTCTCCAGCTGTGTGTCCAGGTGCTGAGAGACTTTCTTGGTTTCTTTTGTGTGGCAGCCCTGGTGCGTCTTCCATTTGTCCTCTATTTTCTTATGTTTCAGTGGTGAATCAATACAGAACAAATATTTCTTGGGCATGTGTTTCTCAAATGCAGTAATGATTCTAAATCTGTTTAGACTTAGATAGTTGAACAGCTCTTCTGTCTTCCCACTCTCAAGCCTGTAGACAGAGGAGATGTAAGATGGTCATCTTTGCATGCCTTCAGGAGAATCTATGGTTGGATTTCCATGCTTATGATCTCACACTTAAACCAGCATCTGGGAGGTTAGCAGGACATACTAGGAGGTGGTATGACAGACTCAGAAAGCAGCTCAAAAATTCATTGTAGAGCTGAGAAGCTGCTTTGCTCTTGAGGGGAGAGGAGGAGTCAGTTGTGTTGTATTAGAGTTGGTGTTCGTATGGGAGAGAATATGGTATACTAAGGTGACTACAGAGGTATGGTTAGTGAAAGAGGTTCAGAAGTTGCTTTATTATGGAGAATCTATGTATTGTTTTTATATGTGAGTATATATTTATATACTTATATATATATTTATATATTTATATTGTACATCTAAAGCCTTGGCAATTTCAATTTTTAGAAAAGGACAGACACTGTCATATTTTAAAGAGTGGTCTAAATTATAACATGTAGTCTAAATTATCATGAAAGTGTGTGTATACACTTAAGGTACATGTACACATATATGATTCTTAAACTGGGGATCTGCCAGACACAGGATTAGCTGTCACATGCATATTGACTGCTGTGGGTATGTATGATTATCCACCCTCGGGCAGCCTTGTAAGCATAAGTCTTACATATTCCTACAATTTTAAAGTTGTTAACAGAGGAAAGGGCAACACTGGCACACTTTTGCTCAGCACTTGAGAGAGGGTGAAGGACATTGTACTTCGAGGTCTGCTAATCCAATGAAAAGTATTCAACATCTGCTGATGTTCTGGCAAGTGTATGCTAAATGAATGGATAGGGGTTTTTCAAGTGAGGAGTTTAATCTTTAAGTTGTCAGAAGCCCAGATGTCAGGTAACCAAGTGACCAGCCAGCAGGAGGATGGGAAGAGGCACAACAGTGATATTTACAAAATTGTTTTGAGACTTCAGTTGCAATCTCTGTATGTGGCCAGTATGTTCCTGGTTTTGCAAATTTTTGTAATAGATTAGAGAGCTTCTCTTCTGGTGACAGAATCCAGTGGTGGTGGGTGATTGATTTCTAGGCAGCAGCTGTCGTTACTAAGCAGATAGGCAAGAGAAGCTACAGACCTTACAGGCAAGGGATATGCACTGAGTTTCCCCCTGCATTTTGAATGCTTTCATCCGTTACACAAGACAGTGGTGTGTGAGCATATTTTACTGAACACCTGAGCAGAGATGCCTGACGGATCATCTCCAGCTGCTGTGGTTGTGCCAGGCAAAGCCCAGTCCTCGCCGCAGGTTATTGGCAGCAAGGCTGAAGCCGGGTGAGCAGCGCTCCTTGCTTGCCCGTTCGCCTCCCTGCACATTGCCCGTACTCGTCCGTCAGGCCCTTTCCTTGCCTTACAGCAGCACCTAGTGGGCTCTCGGTAGGTTACTGCCCAGGAATCCCGACATCCGGAGCGGCCTCCAAAGCCTGCCTGTCTGCCGGCGCTAACGCCTCGCAGCGGTCAGGGCGCGGCCGGCCCAGGGATTTCCACCCTTGTTCCGTGTGATCGTTTCAGAGCAGGTTGTGGTAACCTGCAGGGAAAGGAAGGCCTGTGGTTTCCTTCTTTTTGAGAGCAAAAGGCTGTCTTACATGTGATGCAGGGTCTGTGCAAAGTGTGAATCAGAAGTGAAAAATCTCTCAGTGCAGCTCAAGAGAAGGCTTGGAGGAAGAAATAGGATGTTGAGGACATTTTATTAGAGCAGGAAATGGGATGTACAAAATGGCACTATCTGTGCATCTGCTCTTCTGGTAATTATTTTAATGCTTTGATCAGGTTCAGCCTGGCAAATGGTAGAAGTCGTGGATATAAGAAGTTTCCCACAGGTCAAGAGTGTTTGGGGAGCAGCAGAGTAGAAGAAACAAGGTCCAATTAGTGCTCTGCCAAGTAAAAGCAACAGCATTAACTTTTTAAGGAGTAGCAGAAATTGATAGGAAAAACATAGTGGTTCCAACCACAAAACCTCCACTGAGTTACTGAGCACCAGCAATCTGTTCTCTACACACAAACCTGTAGAAAACTGGGCTTCATACCTCCCACAGCAAGTGGTTCTGGTACCACCAGGTGTACAAGCTGTGCCCAGCCCGCAGCACATACCCTCCAAGGCAGCGAGAGGCTCATCCTGAGTGTCTGACAGCACCTGTGTTGTGGGGGCTGAGCCCAGATAGCCCCTCTTGGAAGGGGACTTCCACTCCAGCATGGTGCTCCTGGGGTCCATGGCTCAATGGCTCCAAACTCAGAGCTAAGTGGTATAAAAGAGCTGGTTGAACTGTAGAAAATATGGGAAACAAGTCCAAAATTTGGTTATTCTTTTAAGAATCCCACCAGTGCAGTGGCCTAAAATAACCAAATGAATACTCAGATGTGCAAGCAGCAACCTTACATATTTGCACCTTTGCAGAATCTCAGATCTTTGGAGATGGGTCTCTCAAAAGTAGCCAGATACTTTTCTAGTAGTAGTCCAGACTACTGTTGAGGCACAGATGTTTTAAACAGACTATACAGAAACATGATAAAAGTCAGTAATAACCATTACATCAGTGAAAACAGTAGCACAACCTACTAAAAAGGCAGAAGACAGACATTAGAATTACATTCTTTGGAGCCCTTTGGATTGCTGTACTCCCATAGTACACTGATGAAACATCCTGCTCAGTGTTTAACAGGAGTCACTGTTGCTGATGAGGTTTCTGGCAGGGAAGAAGTAAGTTTGTTTGTATATGTAAGCAAATTGTCATATTGGTGAATTTCCCCTTGTCCTCTGGGTTGCTGCGCTTGGATTTTGTGTTTCCAGGGGAGCGTGGGTAGCAGATTCCTGAAGGCAAATGCTGCTGTTGCTATTGCAGTGCTTCAGGATCTCAGACAAACAGCAGCAGGGCAAGCTGCGTGAGCTGTGGGGCTTTGTGCTTACTACCAACAGGTGCAGTCAGTAGCTAAATCTCATGTGCTTTCACCAATAAAAGCTGTTGATTTACTTGCTTAGGTAATGAATAAGAAAAAGCCCCACATTTAATTTTGAATTTGTTAAGTAAACTGAAATTTTGAGGGGAAAAAAGTTGTTAGGGAAAAAATTTCCATCCTGTTATTTTTTATCAAATTTCACAAAGCTTCCTTCCTTTTTTTCTGTTTCTTACAAGCCATGTTATATACCTTATTTTATACTAACAGTACTTCATTCTCCTAGGAGTTACACATGTAAATCTTCTACACTCAAATGTGACACTTAATGAATGTACCATATTTGATAGAATTCTTTTACAGAATAATGCTTGATTAACACATTCCTAGCTAATAAGAATACCATGGCTAAGATGTGTTAATTCAAATAAGGCTTTTGGTTTTGAACAGTCATTTGTTTGTATTTTGTTTTCAGTTATAATGACTTTCTTGCACTGCTTCTCAAAAGCACCCCTAAAATGTATGTTTAGGTATATGATTAGAGAAATTTTAGGCTTGTGCTACCCTTATCTACTTATTTTCATGCAGTTATGATTGGAGATTATTTTTCTAATTAGTATTTCTGTCATCAACTGTGTCTTCAAAATATTTTTTTACCTTCTATGTAATCTTACTCTCAATTATAGCACAAATTACAGATATAGCAGTGTTGATAGCATCACCAATACAAGATGGTTATGTGTGTAGTCCAGTATAATCCATTGAGTATTCTAGTGTATAAAACTATTCTGACAAGTTCAGAATCATAAAAGGAGAAGAAAAGCCTGGTATTTTTGTGGTCTTCTTTTCTAAGACAGTTTTCAAATGTATTATAATGGGTGCTAAACAATGTTTTCATCTGTAAATATGATTTAATCTTTCCAGGACTGTGAAACATTAGCTTGCCCTTCTTCTCTTAAATGGTTTCTTCTGCTCAATTTTGTTTTTAGCTTGAGGGAAGCACCTTTGAGGTCTTACCCTGCACTCTCCTTTTTTCAGGTTTCCTCCAGTACTTGCCAGTCTGATACATCTAATTCTACAGAAGCCTGTCAGAAGTCATCATTGTTTCAGTTTGCAGAGGTGAGTTTCTTTAAAAGGGTTTTTTTTCCTAAGTGAATCCTTTTAAGAAGCATCTGATGTCCAGCTGAAAGAAAAATCAAATGTCTTTAACTAAAATTGATGTTTTTATTTGTTCCCTAATTTTTGGGTTTATGCTGTTGAATCATTTATCAGGTTGGTAAGACTTGAAGTGCAAGAGAGTGTGTTTGGGACCCTGGTGGAAACCCAGGTGCAATAATGGAGCACCTGGTTTAAGCTATAATTTGGAGATATGTCATTCCTGCACTTAGTTTTAAACTAGAGACTTATTAACTAAGGTTTTAACTTGTATTTGGATGTTTCTAATCTAGTGTGGCTGCTTTAGTCATTGGCTCCATCAAAAATCATTCTAGTTCTTGACTCTCCAAAATTTTCTTCTAGAACCACCAAACAGCTCTATGCAAGTGTGCTTTGATTTTGCAGTGTACAATATTTTTGTCAACATACTCCAGTTATTGCTAGAAGTGTAACTGTGGTGTGTGTGTTATTGCTCTTTTTCTTTGAAGAGTTTCATCCAAGTCTTAATGGGTTTCATAGATGTAAATAACATGACAAAAATGAAATTGCAAGGAACTCTAGCCCTCTGCAAGCATCAGTTGTTTCTTGAAATAATCATAATACATGACACAGAAATATTTAGTTGTATAGATACTGATTTTACAAGACACTGGGTAGTTTTTAAGTAAGTGTATATGGAAAGAAATTTTGTCATAGTGAGGGCTTTTTATTACCTGTATTCACACCAGCTGTGAATTCGACTTGTGTGTCTTTATTACCCATTGCCTTGTGCACTTTCATACTTCTTCCTAAAAGATCATCACTTTGGGAGCAGATGCATTGCAATCCTAGCACACAAGAAATGGGACTTCTTTTTCAGTTGGATATTTTAATATCAGTGCACAAGCCCTTGAATTCCAGCTTAAGATCTGAGTCTTTCAAATATATTAGAAGTAAATTGGAGCACTGATCCTTTATTTCTGATTAAAGATAATGGCCAGAGTGAAGTAGATAACCTGTAATTAGGCTCTTAAACAGCCTGCTGGCTTTTCTTGTTAGGAAGAGGAAATGCCTGGTGTGCCAGCAATGAAAAGCAATACTTAGATGCTTCTTAGAATTGGTTAATTCCAGTATCACTTACGACACTTTTGTGGTAATGATTCAACATCCATCTTCCCATATTTCTGAGATGCTTCTGTGTGCTTATACTGTCAGTAGAGTAATGTCTTGTATTGAATTTCACTGCTGAATCTTTTAAAGAGTAAGACAAATACCAGCTCACATAATTGTTTCAGTTCATTTTACAGTGCTGAAGGAGGGAAGTGCCAGACTCATGTGGTAGTAGGCAGGAATTGTGTGCTGCCAGATGTGCCCTTGCTAAGGGTTTCTGACCTCAGGCTTTTCCTTACCCATTGAAGAAAATTTTTAGTGGGTGCCAGGAAACAAGCTCACCTGCACTGCTAAAGCATGTGGTTTAGAAGTAGGCTACTGATGATCAGTAATTAGAAATGCAAATTAGCTAGTCTTATTTTTCAAGGATGTTAAACATCCTGTAGAGAGGGTGCACCTAACCAGTGCATGGTAGGTATGTGTGTCAGTGGCAAAATAATTGATACTTGTAGTGAAGTCCGACATTAATCAGAGGTGTCATTTGCAGCAAAACTAATTGACACAAGTTAAACTATGAAATGCAGTTACCTTGGTGTGGGGGATAGATCTGGTAACACAAAATACCTGCGCACATTGTGTTTCTGTCCGCGCTTACCTTCTGTACTAAGTAGCAATTTGTGCTCTGTCATCACCACCATTCTGCAGGCTCAGGTCTTCCACTGAACTGTGAAATACAATACAGTGTTAAGTATTTGTTGCTAGCCCTTCTTTTATATATCAGCAGGCAGAAAAAAAAGCCCTTCAAAAATAGCTTATTTTGTAGATTCTAGGAAGGATTTTCCTTCTGAAAAGTAATTCAAGATTACCATTTCACAGATCACCTGTTTATGTGTTTCCTGGAAAGCAGATACTGTTTGTTCTAAGGGTGTGTTGGAACTTGTTTGCATACTCTGGAGTACCAGGAATCTTTTTATGACAGATTATAAATTTAGCATGTTGAAGTGTGATACTGAAACTGAACAGTTAGGTAATACAAGCATAATTGTTTTCCTGACAGATCTCTTCCAACACCTCACAGCCTGGAGTCCTGGGGGCAGTAAAACAAACGGAGGAGTCTGCATTGTTTCAGTTTGCTGAGGTACAATGGCTGAATGTGGTGGGGGAGGATGGGAGGAAGCAAGGAACCGGTAAGAGTTGCCAGTGAATGGCTGAGCACCCTGTCTTATCAGAGATTCCCATCAGGAGATGTATATCTTCCTGACAGTATTGTGTTAAGAAAACCGTGGGGTGAATTACCAGTGACTGGATGAGATGTTGGCCAGTTCTACCAGCTGAGAGGTATTGGGCTTGTGAACATTACCTAGCCTTCCATACCCAAAGAACCACTACAGACTTACTATCCAAATGGCCTTTTAATTTACATCTAGGAAAACAGCAATTAAAAGACATTCTGAAATGACACTGCACTGTCTGTGGAAGAGGCTGCAGCAGGGCAGAATGGTGATTGCCCTAGAGGCAGGAATCATTTGGAGAATCCTTGCAGGTCAAAGGAAGCTTATCACAGCAGCCACAAGGATATTTAACAGCATCAGTTAAGTGGCGACTTACCAAGCCTATCAGTTCCCATAAGTACATAGCTTTTCTGCCTTCCTCCACATATTGAAGATTTAGAGTTTGTGAAATGCTGCTTTTAGGAATTTCTTCTCCCATGTGTTGAATGTGCCTCTGTGAATTGACTTTCACACATTTACTCTTCTTGCCCATTTGGGGGAGTCTGATACTGCTTGCAGAATCATTCAAGGCACAGGTGCATTTTGTGTGTGCCTGAAAAGGCTGGGATTGGAGCTGGTGCTATTGCAGAGGAGCATAAAGGGATTAAAAGATACCCTGATTGTTATTCTGTGTGTCACACACTTCCTTCTGTGTAATGTTGAGCTAATTGTCTACTGTGGTTTTTTAGCTTGGCTGGAATGGGCCTTGGTGTTTTTCTTAGGGGGGCCAAGGAAGACAAACCAATTTACTAATTCAGGTGCCCAAAAATACCTGGCTACAAACACTCCTATAAAAGATACAATACAGTTAATAACTCTAATCATGAAAGTGTTTTCATGATTGTAAACCACAGTTTTGAAAGTTAGAAGTCAATTTGCAAAGCTCTTTTGAGAAAATTAGAATTGAGGATGAAACTATGTGCTGAAGCTAGACTTTTAAATCAAGTTAAAAGATACAAACTGGAGAACATTTTGTGTTAATTTTATTGCAAAATACTGGAATAATACTGTAAGTGAATCTGCTAACTTAGTTGCAAAAATCTCAGTCATTCTGGGTATCTGCAGAGTTGAACAGAGTATGTATTGCATTTAGTACAACATTCCTAAATTGTCACATAAAACCTGGCTTAGCCATACTCTCAGAATTTCACAGAACCTAAAATCATTTCCTCTCCTCACTGAACAAACAAAATGACAAACCTGAAAATTGTCATACTGATGTGATAGTGTGTTTAGTTGCATTCCAGTATGCTGAGTGAGCTTTGGCACATTGGAGTACACATATGAATCATCAAATATTAGGTAGAAGAGGTGCTTAGAAAGTTAATCAGGATTTACTGAGGACAGTTTTAGAGTCAGGGTTAATCTCTTTTTCTTGTAAAAATATTTAAATGTGTGTGCAGTCTGGAGGTGTTGGTTTTGTTCTGTGGCTGGAAATAGGAGACAGAAATCTGGTCAAGAGAAAAAAAAAGAAAAAAATTTAAAAACCCACCTTGTTAGCCATGGTTATTCTTCCTGCAAAACCTTAATGACAGCGATGAACATCATTTTTTATCTATAGCAGTAGAGAAATGGTGTTTTTTCTTAGCTTGTAGCCTGATGATTTAATTTAGGTTGCTCCTGGGGAAAGAATTGAGCATGTTACAGAACCTCTTGAAGCTTTCTCCCCTGCTATTAAAGCTGCTTGTGCTCTTTCAGCTATAAGGGCTTTCATTTGCACAGGCTGTCTTTGTGAAATTTGGCAAAAGTCCTATTCCTTACTGTGCCACTTCTTATTGCATCTTGTCTATATGAATGCATTACTGCATTTCGAGAACTAAATTATGGCAAGCAATTTGCAGTGGGCTGCTGTCAGCAGTGTACAGTGCTACAAAAGAAAAAAGAGAAGGAGAGAAAGTAGTTATTTAACCAGTAGCCAAGTAGACCTGTGAAGAAATGTGAAGTGTGCTCTGGTCTGATGTGCCTGGAGACTTCTGGCAGCCATCCCAGCTCAGTTTTGGTTCTGGCTGGGTGTTCCTCATATGTTGCCTTTCTCTTCACCGCCCTTGCAGCAGGGTGAGTAAAAGTGCTTCTTTGTGAAGACAGTGATCCCATTGAGTAGGTTTGTCATTTAAAACAGACACCTTTACCCCAGGAGTACAAGTGCCCTGTCACTCAGAAACAGCTCATTATGTGTAGAGTAGCATGGGATTCTTTTTGTCTTTATAGCCTCAGTTAATCTTTCATCTGGTTGTCTAGCCCAAGTGCTGTAGTTGTCAATTAAAGCTGTTCAGGATATGCCTAATGAGGCCTGCCCAGTGACTTGCCACAACAGATGATGAAAATCCTGGAAGCAAGACTTCATTCGGTTCTGTGGGTGCACAGGCAAATGCCTTGGAGGTCTTCAAAGATGATGTGACATCCTCATAAGAGCTTTTTGAAGTTTGGATTGTTGTCAAGTTATGCTTTTGGCTTTCTCATGCTTCTGACCTTGAGAGTAGTTGGCCCTACTTTTGTCCTTCTCATTTGAACCTGTATGGAAAGGCTGTGATTTCTGAGCAATGGGCTGTGTTCCTTAGGGCAGTGACTGTTTGCAGGCTGTCTGCTCACAGGGACTGGTCACTGTCCCTTTCCTTGCCATGAGAGGGAAGCAGAGCAGATGGGACCCCTTGCTCTCATGGTCTTACTGCATCTGTGTTTGGCAAATGTGAACAGATGGTAGTGATTGCTTCCTTGAAAGATGAGTACCTCTTGGATTTACTTTCCTAAACTCTTATTCATTACTAAAGAAAAGGCTTCTGGGGTATGGAAGCAAAAGAATTGCTAGTTGAACCATCTTTAAAATAAAATTAATCCACAACCACCAAACTCTTTGCTTTCAGCAGCTTTTCTAAATTTTTTCTTAAAGTGATGTAATTAAAAAGAAAAAAACAAAACCAGTCATGTGCAGTATGCAACAAGGTGGATATTTTTTTTTTTTTTGCTAGTCCAGCATGTTATTTTCATTTAAGATAAAAAGCATGACTCAGGAGGATTTTGTCCATGCTGCATTCTCACATGCTCACTTTGAGAAGGTTTGCTCTGTGTTTATTTCTGTGCAGAACAGGAAGTTTGAATCCAAAACTTTTGATCAAAATACCTTGAAATTTGGAGTGTAAAAGCTAGTGAGTGTTTTCTCTTCCAACTTCCATATGTAAAGCTGTAATCTTCCCAAGTAAAGAAAAATGTATTTGCTGTTTGCCCACATACTGAAATTATTAAATGTTTGTGTTGGAATGAAATGCCTGTTCTAGAAGGAATATGAAAAAGTAGTTCCAGCTACTTTTGCAAACTAAAATGTAATATAATAGCTAAAGCCCCACCTGTATTGTAATAAAATATAGTAACTTGATCCTAATGATCCTCCAGTTAAAACTCTACATCAGTAAAGGGCTGTTTGTGGTTGTAGTACTGGGGATTCTGATTATTTTTAAATCTGGGAGATGTCCTTAAGACAGGGAATGGGATCTGTAACCTCACTGAGAGCTAATTGATCAGCCATTCTTTTCCTTCTGATGTTTGGCCAATAACTTCATCAGAATGAGTTACATGCTTCTGTCACTTGCTGTTTGTTTTCTTAGCTCTTTAAAGGTTTTTGGTTTTTTTTCTGAGATGAAGTTTCTCCTTCCTCTCTTTCTTTTAGTACTCTAAAGATCTCACATTTTGTTAGGAGCACCTATTGTCTTGTCAAAATTTCTTTACTGTTTCCTCACTTTCTGCATCAGGAGGCAAGATATGCCTGTATATTCTCAAGTTATAATTCAGTGTGTGTGGGTGTTGTTCTAGCCTTTTTCTGCCATTCATGTTATGCAGAAAAAAATCATTGAGATGAGCATTTGTTAAAATAGAAAGATAAAAAAGTTGAAGTGCAGTGTACAAGATCACTTAGTCAAGGGGGGTCCTGAGCAGGTTCACTGAACTGTCTCAAAGCAAAACTAGGATGTTGAAATATTTCAGTTCAATATTAAAAATTACTGTTGGTGCACATCTGAGTATTATTCGCTGTACTTAAATAGCTTTAAGTGAAATGGATGTCCTGGATTTTGGTGGAGGAGGATGTGGTGGGGAGTGTAATATAAATTCTTTGACAGGTAATTGAAAGATAAATTCTTCAAATAACCTAGTTCAAAAGAGAGAATTTATTACAAGGAGAAAGGCAAACATGATATTTTTTGCATCTGGAAGATCATAGAACCATAGGATGGTTTGAATTGGAAGGGACCATAAAGCTCATCTTGTTCCAGCCCCCCTGTCGCATGCAGGGACACCTTCCACTCCATGAGGTCTCTCAAAGCCCCATCCAGCCTGGCCCTGAACACCAGGTTCTCTGGGCCACCTGTTCCTCACCACCCTCTGAGTTAGGAATTTTTTGTAACATCTGCCATAAACCTGCCCTTTTTCACTTTAAAACCATTGGCCTTGTCCTGTCACTACCTGCGTAATCATGGTCCTAAATGTGATTTTTGTAGTGAGGGAGATACCATAGAAACATGGATGATTTTGTCTCAAGGCTTTTAAAGGCTTCTAAGTCAAATACTACTATGCAATGCTATGCCAAAAAAGGTCACATATCAGAAATTTCTTGCATTTCTGAATTCATAATGCTGCACTGGAAAGCAGGTCTGAAAAAATTTGGCTGTAAAAGCAATTCCCTAAAGTGGTAATGGTAGTTATTTACTTATCAAAGGTGCTGGCACACCAGCAGCTCTTTGGGAGGCTAGATTTAATCTCCAGATATAGGTCTTATTGCCTTTTTCATAACTAAAGAAAGTGAAACAAGAACTGCCTGTGAGGACAGATGGTCCTCTTCTATGTCTAAATAATGGGAAATACTGCCCAGACCTTCTGGGAGAATTTAATTTAACCTTAACAACTAATAGGGCATATTTTTAAGCCACAGGTATGATTTGTTCACTTTGTCACATAAAACTTATGTAAAACACACAGCATGACAGAATATTAGCCGTGGACAGTTATAAATATCGAGTATCCGTGGACATAATCTAAGGAAGGAATGTGGTATTTGCTTGTGTTCCTCTGTTTTCTACATATCTGTTAAGTGTTTCTTGGGTGGGGTTGCCTGTCTGAAGTAGGGCCTTTTGCCAGAAAGAGCTAAAATTTAACTAATCTCTTATTTTCCATTCTTTTTTCCCCTCCCTTTCTGTCTTTCCTGTGTGCCACTGAAATATTTTCTCCTCTCTTCATTTGTAACCTAGATCTCATCAAACACTTCCCAGTTGCCAAGTCCTGAGCCAGTAAAGCACTGTGGGAAGTCGGCACTCTTCCAGCTGGCAGAGGTAAAGTTATACCCACTAGTGTCAGAAGGGGAGGATGTGTATAACTTTTCCACAAAAAAAGTATGAATTGTTTAAGGTTTGCTCTAGTACCAAATTTCGTGTTTCCAGAAACATAAATTAGTAAATAATGACATACCAAGAGAAGTAGGCAGTGGCTATGGTCCCAGGGACCTAGTCTTTTAGACACATGTGAATGTGCTTATTTTCTTAGAGACAGCACAGAAAGTTGCACTTCTTTTTGGGAAAGTTTGCTTTATAACAGTAATAAAAACAATGCTCAGGAGAACAGCAAAAATAGGAGATAACAGTATTCTTAATGAGGAGCTGGATACCAGGATTAAAAAACCAAAGCTTTAGTTATGATGATTGGAAGGTACATTGCTTAATAATCTAGGACTGAGAATAGGGAAAGGTCATCAGGAATCTGCATGAAGAGTTGGAAGTTGATGCAGTGTATTAAATTCAGAAATTGGCAGCTGTCAGCAGTAATCAAGAATGCTGGGTCGGGTTTCCCCAAGGTCCTAGAAATTCTCTGTGAGTCTTAAATATAGCCTTGTAGAGGTCTTCTCTTTGATATGGATGATTCACTCAAAAATCTCTGAGGTTTGATGTGCAGATGCTATTCTTTGTGATGATTGAAAGATGAAGATACATGCTGTATTCCAGACAAATAAGGAAGTATGCTAGCATGTTACTTGTACACTTCTTTTGTTGGTTTTTGTTGTGGTGTTTTAGTTTTGTTTCAAATTCACATCCTGTTTCAGTAAAGAAAATAGTTCTCTGGATCCTCTCTAGTTGCAGACAGCCCTATATTCTTGCTGGTGAGATCAGTCCCTCTCAGGAAAAAGGCAGAGGTTGGAAGCATTGAAATGAAAGTATTTCATGTCTTGTTCTAGTCTTGCAAGACTGTGGCTTTATAGGAATTTATGTGAGTGGAAGAAAATCTGCCTTACTGTACAGGCAGTCTCTGGCAGTAGCAGAGTTTGTGGCTATGTGCTCTATTGCCAGCAGTGCCTGTGCAAGGGTGATTACACCCAACTGTGATCAGTGATCCATAAGGGTATTTGGCTGTTGCAGCTCTGGGCCAGCAGAAGAGCTGGTAGGATTTACTCAGGGACACCAGAAGTTTCTAACATGGCCTCTAACAGGACAGCAGCAGGCTGAGTAGTGCTGTTCTGGAGTAAGGATTATTGCTGTGTGCAGCCTGATCTTTAGAAGTCAGCATTGGAAGTTGTGATGCGACCATGAAGCTTGTGAAGCCCTAATTTAGTAGGAGGACAGATGCTTGTCCACAGGAGTGCACAGTTTGTACTGCAGGTGGCAGAAAAAGCGAAGCTAAGTCTGGCAGCATGACATTGTGTGTTGGATAGGTTTCCGTGATCTCTCAGTGATTGCTCAGATGGTGTCCTGCAAGCCTAATTTAATACACAAAATGGACGTTAAAGGCTCTGATTCAAACAGGGAAAAACACAGCAGATGTGCTAGGCACATCCTCCATGTCTCTAGCTCTTGTAGGACATCAGTGCTATTGATTTTTTTCTTATTTTTTCCCCAGTTTTGGAGATCTCTAATGTTGGATCGTAGTTGAATAAATGATATGTGAGAGATTCAGCTTGAATTTTCAGATGCAGTTCAGTCCCTGGTATGAAGCATCCCAAATAAACCATTTCATAATCACCTCAAGGGTGTCTTAGGTTTGCAAGTGGATTTGGCAGACAGCTTGCTGTAACTCCAAACTGCAGATGTTGTGCACTGGAGGGGACTACTGTTTTCATGCTGCTGGCATGGCAAGTGTCTGGTGTGTGGGAGCCTGTCTGCTTCAGCATACCACACTGCTCTGCTCCTCCTTCATCTCTTTGCTATGTAGATTAAACAATTTTATCTTCTTTTTTTTCACCCCTCTTCCCTATCCCTTCCTTTTTGATATTTCACAATATTTCACAGATGGTGATTAAAATAAAATGCAGAAGGGGGTTTAATTATTTTCTAAAACTTCTGAGGATTTCTAAGTTTCTACAAATGGTTGGAGCCACTCTGCATTTGAAGCTTGGGAGGTTGTTGCTGTTCAGCTCTGCTGAGTCCCTTGCTGTGTTTAGCCTTCAGTGCGGAGGCATGAGAGTAAGGGAGGCTGTGCAGGAGTGGAGCATCACCTCACCAAGGCAAGGAGGCCACTGCAGAGCACTAACAGCACCTGGCTGTCAGCAGCATGTGGAGGCCTGAGCTCTGATGATCAGAGCTTGGGAGGCGCTGTGAAGAGCTGCACCTTCCAGATGTAGAGACAGTGTTGGTTTTTGTTTATTTCCTTTATGGCAGTGACAGGCCAAATTCTGCAATTGACTTCGTAGGCCCATGTTGATTGAGAGCAATGAAAACTGAGTTTGTGGGCTCAGGGAGAGACAAAAGGGTGTAAATATTTTGGTTCCCCAGTCCCTTATAACTCCACATTCTTGTGCAGCCTAAAGAAGGGGGTATAAGAAGCCCATAAGCCTGGTCTGAGATGATGGGATATGTCCTTAAAAATACAACATTTTCTTCAAACTAGTGGCCAATCCTGATACTGATACTTTAAAGTTGTTTAGAAAAAGATAATTTCCTTGCACCTATTTCAAAACTGACACAAAATACTCTAAAGTACTGAAGAGGATCATGGCCTGATGCAGGAAAAAGATTCTTGGAGGATAATCATGACAGCCTTCTTTTATTCTGAGGAATACTAAAGATTACCAAAGGCTTGAGGGCTTTTACTTAACTTTGGGTTCAGAGCATCTCTTTTATATGAGTCCTATAGGACACCAGAAGGCAATATCATAACCTGAAAGAAATAGCCTCCTTAACCTGTGATAATGAAATAATTAAAAATTTTGGAATACGGTGTCCTGCTAAGCCTTTAAAAACACCACCAGCTGGGCTGCATGCTGGTGTAGATTGTTGTTTAACTGCTGGAGTCTGTTCCTGTGTGAGAGAGCATGTGTTTCAGTTCATCCTGTTCCTCAAAGGGAGTCCTGACAAAAAAAACCCCAAATGTGCAAGTATCATTTAGTGTACAGTGGCGTTGTCCACCAGAGCAGTGTTGGAGTGGGTTTTTATTCGTACCAGCATGCACAGGTCTATACTTCTATTTTAGTATATAATCTTATTAATGAATTTTGGGAAGAGGGGAAACAATCTGTTGAAAAGCTGTGTCATAAACATGAAAGAATTGGTAGTGATCAAAGAATGTTTTATTTGTATTGATTTTTCTCTCCATAGATTTCTTCAAGTACATCCCATTCAGGACCTTCTGATTTAACAAAACAGTGTGGAACATCAGCATTATTTCAGCTGGCAGAGGTAATACTAAAATACTGGTGACTAATTGCCCCAGGTGCAGTGGGATGGAGAAGTTAAAGCTATTGATTGCCAAAGTCTGCAAGATTTCTTAGTTTAGGCTTTGAGGTCTTTAGGGCTTAGCTGAGGAACACAAATAGTTGAGAGAGAGGACTGGATGACTGTGTTATGAAATTCAGACATTGCCATTACAAATTCATGTTAATGGTTATGAGCTGCTTTCATTTATTTTTGCTTTTCATGCCCATTTTATTTTTCAGGAGAACTAACAGGTCAGTAACTTACATAGAAGTTCTGCTGTGGTACTCTCAGCAGATCTTCCTTCTGGGAGCAGTTAAAACCAATGGCACTTTATTGAAATTTTGCCTTTTTTTGTTTCTAAACAATTTTTAAGCTTTCCCAGTCTTGAAGATTGTTTAATTAGAAGTTTATTTGCTGACAAGACAGAGGTCACTTCTTTTGTAGCCACATCTGTAGCTCTGTACTACTGGCTACTGCAGAAAAAGCAAATGTATAAAAGGAAAAAATCCATTGGCTATGCAATGTATGTTGAATTGACAAAATAGTCTTAGTCCAGCGAGCTCCATCCTAAAGATTGAACTTTAGCTTTTGAAAATCACAGGCTGTGCTTAACATTTCAGTGTGGTAAAAAAGTCACAGAAATACCTTTGTACCAAGAGCCCACATCAGCACAGTTGTGGAGTTCTCCTTTGCCTAGTCTAACCTGCTTCCCAATAGATACTGTGTGTTGCCCAAGCTCTGGTGCTTTACAGTGCTCAGCTCAGCTTGTCCTGAACCAGATCAGTAATTTCTACCTTGTGCAGCAAGAATTTTGGAAACCTGCTACGAAAACATCCCAATCATTGGTGTTATATTCTTACATAAATTGGTATGAGAGACTTTTTTAGTTTGCAAGGAAGAAAAGCCTTGCCAATTTGAGAAATCTAAAATGGACCTAAAGAGAACCCATGTGTCTCGGGGAGGTATATCCATACTGACCACATGGCCTGTGGGCTAAGCTGCGGGAACCTTCTGATGTCTGGTTCAAAGCAAGCCTCCTCCATCTGGTTTTGCTCCAGGTGACTGGTTGACATTTGTTCTAAAAACAAAACTGCACTGGGAATTCAGCTTGGGGGCTTTGAGAGAGGACAGTAAGAACAAAGCATGTCTTCCCAAGGGCTGTTGGTTGGTGCCGTGAAGGACTACCTTCTGTAGATGTGTCTGCATAGCTTGCAGGTGATACAAAACAGAGAGGATCTCCTAAGTCAGTGCTGCAGGAACATGGCAGTTTGAGGACCTTCTAACGGTTCTTTTTCTGAATATCGATGTTCCTCAGATAGTATAAGGATTTTGGTTTCCATTAGTGTTATCTCCAGGAGGAGATAACCATGGCAACCACCGCTGCTTTGCAGTTTTTTGCAAAATAAGTCTGTGACATGAGAAGAAAGATTCAGAAGGCTTTTTTACTACCTTCCAAATAATTTCTCACATTCAAGTAAAAGAAAATAACCTCAGGGAGATTCAGTAAACATTTTTTCCCTTACTCCTTCAAGGCCATTTAGAAAATGGAGAAAGGGATTGTATCAGGGACATTTGAAAGTTGAAAGGGGAACGGATGTGAGATTCCAAGTAGATTGTCTGTGGCAGTAGTCAGAGATAACTCTGTTCTGTTGCATTTCAGATATTCTGAAAATCTGTCTAGCAGTGGATTTCCAGATGATATAAAGAGCTTTAAAGGAAACACCACTGAGATCAGTTGGGAGTCTTTTTCTATTAGAACAATGAACCTACCAGCCTTATTCCAGCACTTAGCCCTCATCCCATTACATCAGTTTCAGCATGTCTTCAGCCTGTTTTTCAGTACTGTCCTGTAGCACAGTTTGTTTCCTAAACTAAAATGCCAGAGAGATTCCCTGTTAAATGCTCGTGCTAGTATAAGTAAGTAATGTTAACAGTTGATGTTTGTTTCATGGGACTGCTTTTAAACTTATTTTAGATGTGCCTTGCTTCAGAAGGAGTAAAAGTGAAAGAACCTGGGAAAACAAAAGTGGAAGCACTGGAAGATGAGGAAGGGGAAGTTTCAGAGGACATGGAAGTAGAACAGGAGAAAACAACAGTAAAAGACTCCAGTAATAGAAAAGTAGAACAATCAGAAAAATTGCAAAACCCAGATGAAACAAAAGCTGAGGAATCAGAAACTGCAAAATGCAGAGATTTTACTAGTCTTGCAATGGAAAACAGTCCTTTTGAGAGAAAGGATAACACAAAGGATCACATGTGCCGTTCTCCAGAGCTTTTCATGAGTGACATGACTATCCTTGGGCTAAAGCCAGAAAAGATAAAGAAGAAAAAGAAAAAAAATAAGTTGGACCGGCACACAAATGAAAAATCCACCCCCAAAAAATCTTGTAAAAAGAGGCAGTCCTCCGAGTCGGACATTGAAAGTGTAATGTACACAATTGAAGCCGTGGCCAAGGGGGACTGGGGTGCTGAGAGACTTGCAGATACTCCCCGCAAAAAAAACCGCCCTGTCTCAAATGTGAAGGGAAGCATGTTGGATACAAAATCACCAAAGAAAAAAGTGAAATCAAAAGAAAAGAAAACATCAAAGGAGAAACCAATGGAGACCACCAAAGAATCCAAGCCTCCCAATTTCCTTAGTATTGAAGCCAGCAAGGAAGTACCATGTGAGGCTCCTGATAACATTAAAGTGGAGCCACTGACCCCAACAGAGGAGGTGGTACCCCAGAGCTTACCAGAACAGATCAAAACTGAGGACAGTGACTGTGTTAAAAAGATAGAAACCTGTGGCTCCAGGAAATCAGAGAGATCTTGCAAAGGTGCTCTTTATAAAACTCTGGTGTCAGAGGGCATGCTCACATCTCTGCGCGCTAATGTGGACAGAGGTGGGTGGCTTTGAGTGTTTTGTTTACAGCGTGAACTGCAAAAGCCTGCCTGGATTGGGAGGAAAAGCAAAAATGCATGTTTAAGGTGGAGTTTGAGCAGTGTGCAGTGGGAATATTGTGTCTGGTCACCTGCGATGCTAGGGACAGGTGGAGTGGCTGGGCTCCCTGTTCCAGGGCAGGTCTTTTCTGTAATCTGTGTTCCTGCTTACCTCACAGACTCATAACTGCTCTATTTTCATCTTTCATGATCTGAGTTTTAAATTCTTGGCTGAAGGCTTTGTTGTTTAATTTGTCAGCCTTCTGGTAGATGTGTGCAGGACTTGTGATGTATGTAACCCCGAACCATTACCTTGTTTCTATATAAACAACTCTTGTGGTTGTGAACATAGTTCTCAATCCTGCAAGAAGCAAATGTGCTCTGGTTTTGCTTTGGTTGTTAGATTTGCTGTAGGCAGTAAGTGAGAACTCTTTATCCTGTGGAAGGACAAATTTGAGATAATATCTGGAAGCTTTCAGTGAAATGTCTGGAAGTGTATTTTTCCAACTCGTAGATTTATATGTGTAATTAGAACAGTCAGAAAAGAAAAAAAGTAGTTTGTAATTTAGGGAAGCTTATTACCGTATATCTCTTCATCTCTTTCTTCTTTATACCTTAAGAGATCCTGACTTTTGAGATAGTCCAGGAAAAGACAGGAGAGGGGATGCAGAATAGTTGTCAATATCATCATTGCCCAGTTTAAAATGAAAAATGTTTTGTAACTGCCTTAAAGAAGGTCAGGCTTCATAAGTTGCCATACTGCCTGGGTACACAAGTTTCTTTTGCATTTACTATGTTTTGGAACATTTTTCTAAAGATGAGAAACAATTTTCTGCCTTCATCACAGGAAAAAGAAGCTCAGGAAAAGGTAACTCCTCAGATCATGAAGGATGCTGGAATGAAGAAATCTGGGCCTTTTCCCCAAGTGGGACAAGTGGGAACAAAAAACTGAAAAAGACTAAGCCAAAGGAAGAGTTTGTTTTTGGGTAAGTTGTGGCTTAACACTGATGTTTTAGTTAGGTCAGCCTAATAATTTAAAAGTGAGTCCTCCTCACTGCAGCTAAGTGACCTGCATCTAACACACAAATAATCACAATTCCAAAAATGAAAAACCCTGTGGAACTGAGTCATACTCTAAATACCTGTCGTTTATATAGCAAAGTAATTCCTTTGAGATCTTTCCAGGTTTACACCACTGTAAGTGAATTTGAATGGTGTTATTTGCTCAGTTCTAAACAAACCACACAGTATTTACCTGCTCAAAAAGTAGTGAAGAGGGTTACTTAGATTTTTCAGAGTACTTTGCAAGCACTATTTAAAGTTCTGTGTAGGTGTTCAATCATCATAAACCAGATTAGACTAGAAAGAATAGATCTCTTTGCCCACTTGGAGAGATTGCTTACAGAGGAATAGTAAACAATGTTCTTATATTGACAAATAATTATGGTAAATAATGTCATTTTTCTATTGTAGAGAAAAGATATTTAAACTGTTTATGTCCACCATGATGAAATTAAATATATCTTAAAAACAATTAATGAGTATAGATGCATTAAAATTTAGCAAGGCTGCACAGAATTACTTTTCTAGTATACAAGTAATGATTTTTGTCAGAGTGTTGCAGGGGTAGTAGTTAAATCTGGGTTGCCATTCATGCTTGCAAATCTTGCAGATGAGAAAATGTATTTAAAAGGGGGAGGTTTTCCATGTTGCATGCTTAAAATTATAATATGTTTGGTTTTGCAGGTTTGCAGTACCCTTTTCATAACCTAGTTTATGTGACATCTAATTGCAGCTCACTTTCAGCAAAGATATTAAATCAGTGGAAATCCCCAAGTCTTGTTTATTGGAATAGTCAAGAAAAATTAGTTAAGAAAAAATGGAACACTTTGTATTTTTAGAGTTTTGTATAAGTTTTGGATATATTTTAAGTTGAAAGATTGAAAAATTTTCCCACATAATGGTGGGAAAGCTCATCACATCTTGTAGCATAAAAAAAGTAGTTGTAAATTATTTATTCAAAAAGTACCTAGGAAAATTGTCTAAATCATTCATTCAACGCTACCCTCATTAGCTGGCTGGATGAGAAAATACGTATTTCCAATCTCTCATCTTTATTCAGTTGCATCATTAATGAATATTATTTAGTGAACTCTGTAAAGGCAGAATTAAGAATGTGTGAAGCATAAGTGCTGGAGAAGGTATCCAGTATCCCTTTTCATTGCATTACCTGATCTTCTGGCTACTTGAAGAGCTGGTTTTACCTCTGCCTGCCCCACTTAACTCCCTCTGCTCCCTTCAGCATCACATTTCAGCCTCATTTTTTACATGCATTGGTGAAAGGGTCCTCACCCCTTCAGAATGACATCATTTTCATAATTTTCCCTGTGTCCTACCTTCCCCATCAGTAGCTTCCCATATTTCCCTGATGGTCTGGGTGAGATGTGCTTTCCCCACTCCTTTGCCAAGCAGGGCTCTACCTGCCTGTGTCTCCTGGCAGAACTAGGCTGTGCAGCATGAACACCTCAGCTCAGCTACATATGTCTAACCAGGCTTCTGAGAGGCTCTTAGAATTCATGACAGTGTGGATTATTTTTTATTTCTTTAAATAATTAATCGCTGACATAGAGATAGCAGCACTCCCCATTGCCTGCCTGCATGTCACAGAAGTTATAAATTACTAGCAAGGATGGCAGCTCATCCACTGTCAAATGAGGTTTGGCCTTCCCAATTAGAGCTGCAGCCCCTCATGCCCTCAGGGCAGGAGCTGAGGCAGGTGGGAACAGACAGTGGGAGAGGAGCTGAGTCAGAGCAGAAAATCAGATGGTTTTTTGGTTGTCAGGGAACATCCGTGTGGAAGAGAAAAAGGTAGCAGTACCAAGCACTACTGACGTAAGAGACCTTAGTGATTTAAAACCAAAATAAAACATGTACACAAACAAACAAATCCCGCCATGCACCTGGTCTGCAAAGAGCCAAGGCTGTATTTTAAGATGGAAAATTGCTTCCTGAGAGAAGTAATAATTACAGACAAAAAATGAGGTATCTTCATGTGTACCAAAACTTTCAGAATGCAATTTGTTTGAAGTGCTGCTTCAGAAAGCATAGAGAAGTACCATGTTTCTTGTGATACTTCCAAGTGTATAAAGGGCTATCCTTCCAACAGTCATGCCAACTTCTGTCAAGTTGAGGTTTTTCATAGCAAGGAGAATTAAAAACAAGTGGAAGATGTCATTGTTCCTCTGTCATTGACAGTGCTATTTATAACCTGCCTAACTGTGTGCTTGCCTTTTACTAAAACACAGTTTCTACTTCTGCCTGGCTGGAAAAACTTGCAGGAACAGAGTGCTTATGCAAGCTAGTGTAGTCATTACAGCTGGAAATGCTGTGCCATCCTCTTTTGCGTGCTTTGTTTTCTTCTGGCTATTATGAACAATCATACCTTGTCTGTGGATTTCTTCAGTTGTAGTTAATCTGCTGACAGTCATTCAGGTTAGGCTGCAGTATGAGGCGTGTTGGCTTTCATGAAAGCATAAGCTAGTAACATTTTTCATCTCACAGCAAATGAAATACGAGGGGAGAAGATCTAATCATGCAGAACAAATACAAAACTAATTCCCACCCCAATGCTTCATGTTTCAGAATATCCACAGGAGATTGATTAGTTTGACATTCTGCTTCTGGTTTGAAATGCTGTTTTCATTCTGGTGTAAGAACTTTTATGTGAAGTTATTTCATTGGTTTATTTATTGGTTTTAATGTCTTTGTTCACTCCCCTCACAGAACAGACAAATCTACAAATCTGTGCAGCAAACAGAGCTAAATGTCACCAGTATGACATTGATTATTTTTTTTCTAATTTTAACATATGCTACTAAGGTAATCAATTTGCACTGTTACAAATGCAGAAGCAGAAATGCACATTCTCATTCCAAAGCTGGATTAATATATACTGGTTTGGTGTTTACAGTGTGTGAATTTACCTGATTTTCCCCTCTCTCTGTGTAGAAAGGTGTGTGTGTATACAGACATGCTCTTAAACAATATATTTTTTCTCCAGAAAGTTACATTTAATTTGAATGGTTTTGTTTCCCATTTAGCTTAGCAAAATTGGAAGAAGAATTTGCAAAGAAATTCAACAGCCTTCCTCAATACAGTCCTATTACCTTTGACAGGAAAAATTCATCTGTTTCGAGGAAAAAGCGAAAGATTGGAAGTGGCTCATGTGAACTACCAAAATCCAACAAAGGTAAGTTGCCAAGTGCAGGAAGTTCTTAAGCAATGGCAGTGCGGTTACAAGCTCAGGAATTTATGCATTCTTACTTCACTGTAACCTATGGAAAGTCTGAAGTCAAAGAATTACCTAGCATTGAAGTTAGTTGGTTCTCATCTGGTTTAGTTTTTCAGGCTGATTATTTTCAATCTTGATTCCTGGTTTTCATGATAAGTAGAACTGGGTAGAGTTTGTACACTAAAGGTATTTCTCATAGCAAGAAAGGTTTTCAAAAACATGAGTATTTGTGAGGTAAGTGAATTTGACAAGTTTTCCCAGGAGAAAATGGGGAAAAAGGGCATATGATCAAGGGTTATATTTTCTAAGCCTAGTTTTAATTTCACTGTAATTTTAGTGTCTGTAAATTAAAACATAAGATATCAGAGATGTTTGAATGAAACGTCTGGAATTTTTCTTCTATCAAGATTATAGTTCTGTCATAAGTTTTGAGCAAAAATGTGTCCTGATGTGATTAAAAACAAGTTAGAGGACATGAAAAACAATTCCATACCCAGCTCCATTGTTGAGGCTCATGGAGGGAGAAACTCCTGACACACTTGGCTATTTTTTTAATACAGGAAACCTGTGACACAGAGGTGGTAGAGAAGTAACCGTGTGGTAGGGTAAAACTACTTTTATACTGTGGCAGAAATACTGATGCAAATATACAGTATAGAAGCATCACAAAATGAAGGAATTATATACCAGTAATTCCACAAGACAAAAGGATGCTCAAAAGGATCCTCATCAGGCACAGTTTGCAATGTGAAGTTGGTTTTCTTTTCTGCAACAATGGTAGTTCCACTGAGTGACAGGTTTTAAGATCTAATATGGCTGTTTTAGCCAGGTGACCCTGGATTAGATCTGTGCCTTTTGAATGCTTCACAAATAATCACATTACAGTGTGCAGGATTGAACAGCTGTTCTTTTCTAGTGCATGCCAGTTTTGGTATTGATTTTTGTAATTAGATGTGGAACAGCCACTTTGCAAAATTAGACTTGTGCTAATACCAAGCTAGTTCTGACTTCAGCTGCCTTTAATTTTGTTTTATGATAAGTATTTGACAGAACTTCTTAAATGAGCATGAATTAATTACTTTACAGCATGATAACACACTGGTAATTAAGCAAGATCTGTTGGGAAGAAAACCTCCTCAACTACAGTGATCTAGCAATTGAAGTTGTAGCAGCTCACTGGATTTCTCACTACAGTATTTACCTGTTCAGGTGTCTGTATATTTAAAAATTCTGCAGGCCCTGTGTTGTTTGGGAAAGGTGAGCTAGAATTCTGCCTCAAGCCAGGTAGTCCAGAACTGCATTCTGCTTTTGGGTAGGTTCATACCCAAAGGAGAGTTTAGTTTTTGTCTTTGTTAGCATCACTTAAAGAGCTTTGGAATATATTCAGCCTTGTCTCAAGGGAAGGTCAAAAACATAACTGCAGGCTGGTTACAAGCCTGATATGAGTAGCTTTGGCACAGCCCTGCAGAGACAGTCATGGAGCATTTGCCTCTGGCTGACAATAAGGGCTCTTTAAATTAAGCCAGCTGACTTTGCACTGAGCAGATGGTAAACAGTCACATGAACTTTTCCACCAACTGAGCTGTGGGGTTGCAACAAGCAGCCCCAGGGCAGGAATATTGGATAGTAACACTGCTCCTTCTGTAGTGAACATCTAACCACAGCCCCAAACTTAAATCCAGACAGAGCTAGTGATACCTGCTCCTAATTCCAGTGAATGTTGAATTCACACACTTAAGCTGGGCAAGCTGACAGTTTTGTGGCAGTCATTCCGAGTCCCTGAAAAGCAAGATTGAGTCAGCTCTCAAGAGGTAGTTGAAAAACTTCCCAGCAAACCATTTTTCTTCAGGAAAAGAGGGATTGCTAAAAAGTAAATATTTGATGGCAGTAGGTCAATTTTAAATGTGTTTTATTTTCTTAGGATCTGTAAAACTAGGATGTGAGTTGTGGATTTGAAATTATCTGACCTAAAAGTGAATATAGGTGAGCTTACTAGCTTAGTAAGTAAGGTTTGTTCCAGTTGAGGCAAACATTTATTAAGCTGAGTCCTCAATTTAATTTGTGACGTGCTGACAGTCTTGTTGTGCTGTTGTCTGGTGAAGTGGGATGAATATAAAGACTCTTAGAGAGCCCTGGTCTCCAAAAGTATAGCACAAGCAGATGTGTGTGCTAGGCTACTGCAAGTACTGCAGGAAATGAAACCTGCATATCATGCAAAATAATAGAGCTTGGTTTGGTGTGGTTATGGGTCTTCTAAATTGTCCTGCTTTTTTACACCATTAGAATCAAGCAAAAGAAGCATTTTTATGCAATGGGCATGAACCATGAAGGGTCAATATAATCTTATGGGTGTGACTGTGTGTGGATGTGGGAGACCTTAGCTTCACACTTCTCTGCACTACTGTGTTGTCTGGAGCTGTTTCTGCTGTGAGGCTTTACCTTGGGTGTGTCTCTGCCTGGTAATTAGAAGAGTTGATCAGCACAAATAGTGTCTACAAGTGTTTTCAGCCTCTGGGTGTTTCCAAATAACTAATAAAAATCAGTAGGGATATGTTTAAGTAAACACTCCTTGAGATGATATGCTGCTTTTTCTGAAGGACTGTGTGCAGGATCATAAACTATCTACTCATTTTCACTCAGCACAGATAACTACTTAATTTTTTGAAGTCTACAGTGTCTACTGAACATGTAAAATTTAGAAAATATGTTAGAGTGCTGCACTATATACCTTCCTCAGGATGCTGGGTGAATAAAAACAGAGAAATGTTTTTGTTTGTTGGGTTTGGGGTGTTTCTCTGCACCCCACCCCCGAATGTAACTGTATGCTTTAACTTTTATTTTGTGCTGGATTGATTCTCTATCAAATGTCACTAGCCTATACCTACAACAGGCTTGATCTGCTACCTAACCACAAACCAGATTTGTCAGGATGTTTTCCTGCTCTGGAAAATCAGTAGGGCAGTGCCCACTGACTACTTCTGTTGTGCTTGTCATGTCCAGTCCACACTTCAGCCAGTTCCTTCACATAAAAACATGTGAGGAACCCTGTAACATGAAAGGTGTTTCCCATCCACATGTATGAAGGAAAATTTGAACCTTTTCTTGAATGAGAGGCACTTTTTTTTCCCCAGAGTTTCCAAATTGTCCAAATTCTGCTCCCACTGAGCAGAATTCAGACTGGGGGTCTTTCTTCAATTGAAATAGGACTGAAGAAGCTATAAAGCTTTGTTAAAATCCACATCAAGTGTTCTGAACTGGGAATGTGCACATACAATAATAATGCCACAAAATGGCTGAAGAATACAGCTCTACTGAATCCATGCAGATGGCCTGCTCCGACATTTACTGGAGCTGTGACTGTTTCCTTTTTTTTTTTCCTTCTTTCCAATGGCAAATGTGCCAAAACATCCCACCGTGCAGAAGTCAGCTGTCTGCAGTGAGTCACTAATATGCTTGTATGCAAAAGTGAGCAACAGGCAGAGTCATTATTTCTGCTTTGTACTTTGAAGAAATGCTCACTTATACACCAAGCACTGCACTAAAGCTTTCATTTTGGGAAGTCAAAGAGGGGAATGCACAGTGTGCTTTTATTTGGGGAAGAGATTGTCTACTTTTTTTTTTTTTGGCTTTTTTGTCTGTGGCCTCTAGGACTAGAAATAAAACATCAGCTTAAAACGGATGCTGCTTTGTGGCATTCCTCTTGGTCTTAGCTCTGGGGTTTTTTTGGCTTGGTTCAAAGCATTCAGATGCTTGGAGATTTTGTGCTGTAATGTTCCAAGGATCATGACCTAAAAATACAGTGCCTTCCTCTGAGAGATGCAGAAATGTACAAACTGTTTGTCCTGATTTTGTTAGGATCTTATTGAAGCGTCCTCTATTTGATCAGATCCTTTAAAACAGGGAAGTTTATGACAGCAAAGAGGGCCTATGCCAAGAAATTTGGAGGAAGTGCAGTTATGGTTCATTTTCTTGCCTGCTGCTTCCCCAGGCAGCTGCCACTGGCCATAACAAGTATTCCCAGGAAGAATCCCCACTGGCCTCAGTGAGCTCTATGGACAAGCAAGGGATTAAATCCTGTGGCAATTTCTGAAGTGCTAGGGAGAGGAATAACCGTATAGAACATTTCCAACAGAGCAAGATTAGTTGATGGCTGTACAACAATGTCAAGTAAACTAAAATGAAAAGGTTTTTTTCAGCTTTCTATAGCAAGGCACATCTAGGGTCCATTGCCTAACAGCAAGACTTTTAGGTTAGTTTTTTCAGTCATGGGTTTTCTCTGGATTGAATGTTCACAAGTGGCATTTGTTCAAAGTCTTGGAATACTTGCCTGTTGTCCCCATGAAACAGGTGTAGCCCAGCCAGGCATCCTGTCAACTCCAGCATGGTGACTGTTAAGGCAAAGGGTGTGGATGAAGTTTCTTGTGGAGTCAGATTTACATTGTTAAGTCCAAGTATGAACTGTTGACTTATTTAGCTATTAGCCCGTCTTCTCTTTCAATGCATTTATGGCCAAAGGTTATTCTAAGTGTCACTGGGCACTGTCTCACTGTCACTGGGCATGAGCTCACACGAGCTAAAAGGGAAGGAAATAGAAGGTTTCCTTACTGCAGGGCAGATTTTCTTTTGACTCTACTAAATTCCTTGGATTTTCCATATGGGAAAATGGCATTTTGCAGATACAGGCTGATGACAAAGGTGCCTTTGATGTGGGGAAAAAAAGAGATGAAAGACACAGGTTTCCCCCTGTGTGCAGTGCTTGTCATCTTCTGTTTTTCATCTCAGTTATTCTGCTTAGAGTTGCTGACACTGGCTCACTGTCTGTCATAGTGATTGAAGTGGTTTGTATGGTGCAGGTTGAGATGTAGAAATTGAGACATGGGTGATATGTAACATATTGCTTCTTCCAAGCATCTGAAAAAAATCACTGATCAGCTAAGTAAAGAATAATAATAACAGAAATGTCACAAGGATCATGTAGTTACCTACCTCTGTCTTCTTGTGGAACTGGTGGAAAGACTTGTTTCTGTTGATGTGGATGAAGTATCTGAGCTTGGTATCAAGAAAAGCTTAGTTCTTTCACTTAGGCTTTTGCTCAAGCTCTCCGAGCTTTTCATTCCTTGTTTTACATTTTTGGTGCTCTGACGCTAGACTAGTCCTCTGCGATACTCAGGAAACTCTTGTAAAACTTACAGAACAACACTTCAGTAAGTTTGAGTGAATATGGCCTCTTCTATTGTACTTTCAAGTGTTACCTGTACAGGTTCTAGTAAGGCTGTTCACGTTCAAGGTGATGTTGCCCAAGATGATCTCTTACTTGGACTTTATTTGGTTTGTTGTTTGGCTTCTAGATTTTTGGAAGTTTATTAATCTTTCTCCAAAGTTTTAATTTCTTCTATATTGAAAAAGAAGTAGCAGTGAGCCACAAATCCAACAAGGGCATGATGCTAAAGTTTCTATGCCTGCCTCTGTCTGGATTTTAGCTTTCTCTCAGTAATTTTCAGTATTTATCAATGTTCTGGTTTGAAATCGAAACCAGTGAGAGACTCTAAGTCAGAAATACAATTTATTAGGAAAAAGGAAAAGGAAAAGCATAATACATGCAAAAATAGAAAAGAAAAAAACACTTACAAAGTCAGAATACAACCTGACAGACACCCTGTTGGCCAGGGTGTTGGTAGCAGTCCAGTTGGATTGGTGGCTGCAGTCCTCCTGGAGTGGCAGATGTGGTTCTTTTGGAGTAGTGATCCTGTAGAAAGGATGTAGTCTTCCTCTGAAGATCCAGTGGAAAAGATGGCTGTTCCTCTGGGAATCCAGTGGACTGACTGCTCTGTCCCAAACCCCAGATTATATCCAGGTGGGGATGCTTAGCTCCTCCCTGCTGGGCAGAGCATCTCACAATGGGCTGATATTGTTCTATGAGTCATGTGGTGGGTCCATTAAACAGAAATGGCTCCTGGAGGGATTTATCTCTGAGTCATGTGGAAAGGCATTGATGGGCCCATTAGCAGGAGATAAGGAAAAACAATGCTCCTGACTTCAACAGCTTTTGAGGATGGGAAGAGAATACATCTCTGTATTGTAACCTAGGACAATGAGACAGCCTAGTATCTGTGAATGGCTTTCACTTCATAAGACTAAATACTTCTTCCATGTGCTACACACTTAACTGTTTTTTTTTCTTTGCATATGGAGTCTAAGATGGCAAATTGCAGATGTATAAGTAGATTTACCCTGATTGCACATTTCCTGTAGGGTTGCAGTTGTGTCCCAGTAGCCAGTGTGTGTGTCTGGTTACTTTTAAGGATGAGGAGGAGTGGAAAAGGCCAGTATTTGTGGTGGGTAGAATCTTGTTACAGGTGAGCTAGAGATGGGAAGGACACCTGCTTGTTAGGCTATAAATCATGTCGTGTGCATAGCATCTCATTTCTGTTTGGGCTGGTCTGTTCTGAACTAGTCTGAAGAATTGCTTGTCCACTGCATCTTTGGAAATAAGATTTTGAAGTTCAGTTTCTGTAAACTCCCTAAAATTTGCTTTGCATTGTGGAGATTATGCATCTCTTATGCCTGTGTTGCTGTTATATCACTGACTGCTTCCCTAATGCAGCAAAGGCTAACTTCTTGGTGGCATCTGATAGTGGCATATTTTGTGGTCCAATGTCACACAAGATGTCTTCTGACTGCTCCTAGTAAAGACTCCACAGACAAAGTAGGAACGATACCATGAGCTGGACTTAACCTCACCTCCCTCCTCTGGAGGCTTTAAGTTTTGCACTTAGTATATCTCATTTCTGGTCACCAGAAAGGCAGATGTAGCTCTTGCATCCTGTGGTGGGTTGGTCCTGACTGGTAAGTATGTTTCCACCCTGTTGCTCCCTCCTACAGTGGGATATGGAAGATAATAGGAAGGGCAAAAACAAGGAAAAATACTTCATGGGTGTAGTAGTTTTGCAAAACTATTACACTGGATCAAGAAGAAGACAGTTTCATAAGTTAGAGGGAGGAAACAAGTAATGCCAAAGCCAGCACTCACTACTAGCAAACTGATGTCCAGCCAGAACCTGAGCAATGGACAACTTTAAAAAATACTTTCCCCAACACAGTTTTGTGCTGAGTATGGTGCAAAATGCCTCTTGGCCCATGTGGGTCAGCTGTCTCAACTATGTCCCCTCCCAGCCTCTTGAGCACCTTCAGCCTAATTCCTGGAGTGCCAGAATGAGAGAGATCTTGATGATCTGTAAACACTGCTCAGCAGTAACTAAACCATAGGTGTGTTTCCAGTGCTGTTAAGTTTACTTCCTGCCAGCCAAGCCCAGTATACATGCAAAAGAGAGTATATCTTTAAGTAAGCAAGAAAATCCCCTGTTTTATTGTATGGCTAGACTTTCCTAAGGGTTTCATTCCCCAAAATGCATTGTATGCACTTAAACATGGGGAGGAGGTGGTGGATTGAACTACAGCTTGCTGAAAGCCTCCACAGTCCCTTCAGGCAGAAGGTCAGGTTTTGTGTTTCCCTGTCAAATGGCAACTTGTATTATAGATAGGAAGGGGAGGTTGTGCAGTACATAGTGTGACTGTTTTACTCTTTTTCAAGCTTCTGATTAAAAGTATGTGTTATTAATGTTGTCTGTAGGTTCATTCCAGTCTCAGAAAAAGAACTTATTCCACAAAATTGTCAGCAAATTTAAGCAAAGAAAGAAGCTTAATGTTCCGGACGCAGGTACTGGTGCATTCTTAATTAAGGTTTTCAGCTTCCTTCTTTCTCAATTCAGTCTTGGGGAAATGCTTCTAGGCAGAGACACCTCAGCTATCTAGTCTTTGACTGCTTTGGTTCCTTGTTTTCCCTGTCTGCTGTGATTCCATTGCCTTCTGGCTCCAGTTGATATTGCTTTACTCCAGTATGATGCTGTTTTGTTTTTACTTGGCATTTCCCTTTAATTACAGTTTCCCTGTTCCAGATGCCATGCAGCAGAGCTGACAAAGCAAGGGCAATTCTGCAGTTGGCCCCAAAAACTTCCATCTTCTACAGCTCACAGCTCTGTAGTCCTTAGGTTGCTCTTATCTGCATTCTTCTGTATCAGTGACCATATTATTTTGCCAGAGCATTTTTGCATGTCCCTATCTACTATTCCTGTGATTTCTTGCTGTCTGGAACTTTGCAGACTGCAGCTGGTCAAGGTGTAAGAGCCTGGTCAGGATGTAAGGCGCTTGTTTCTGCACCAGATCTCAATAATACCAGCATCCAACCCTGCCTCTGTAGAAATCTTAAACCAGCTTTCTGTTTGCTTCATACTGAAAATACCTTCTGCAGTTTTTTAAGTTATGTTCTGGACCTTGTCTGCCCGCTATCCACTGTTAGCTCTCTAAAATATTTTTCTTGTTATAGTATAATAATCCTGCACACTAGGAACTCACAACTCTTGAGGGGCATTTTTGAGTGTACAGTATGTACAGGATTATAGCTTAGCCTGCTTCCCTGGGTGCTTTTTCTTTTATCATCATGTTGCCCACACTATTCAAGTCATGCCCAGGCTGTTCGTCTGTTCCACAGTGGTGTTCTCTCCTGCATTGTTCCTGTAATGTAGGAAAAACCTCTCCAGTTCTGCTTACTTAACTCCATTAATTTTGTCTGGTTTCTTCCCCACCCATGTTCATCTCTAAGATAATAAAATTGTTGTTCTAATCTCCAGTTTCCCCAGCTACCTTAATGGTTAATATCTTTTCCTAATACTTTGCCATGTAATTTCCTCTCCTTTCCTGGTGCTGTGTTTTCTGTCATCTTTGTTGCACATGTGCTATTTTCCCACATAGGCTCTGCCTGCTCATCTGCATTCCATGGTACAAATAATTCGAAATTACTTGCTCTGTCATGTTGTGTTTGCACAACGAATATGTTGTGGCAGTTGCTTATGATATGTAACTATCTTGCTTCCATGTTGGTGTAAAAAAGGCATCATACATTAGCATAATTTTTATTTGGCGTCATTCAGACTTTGTTCCTGAATTATTAATAGACAAATTACAGAGAAATAGACAAATTATTAAGAAAAATGGGTGTTTAAAGTCTCCTAGTGGAAAAGAAACAGAAAGCATTTAATAGGTGATTAAGAGTAAAAAATATAAATACCTTAAAATTTGCAGATAAAAATGTGAGTAAACAAAATGTCAAACCCTGCATTTGTTTAAAAGAAGCCAGCCTGTTTTGATACAAAGTGAAGTGTGCACTATGATCAAAGATTCAACCCTGGCAAGTGTTGAGTACCCTGGCCTCGTTCCAGCACAGCACAGAGGCATGTCCTTGGAAGTTAAGCATGTGAATAATGTCATAGTTTCTAAACATTAAAGATATGTCTGTGCATTTGCTGGGGCAGAGCCAGCTTGTTAAGTTCCTCCCAAGACTAAAGCAAAGACATGAACTTAGGAGCCTTACACAGCCCACATATAATCATCAGAGGAAAGGCAATGGATGTCTGTATATTGATGGGGAACTGCATTTTCCCCTGAATTACAGAGGGGAGAAAATTTGGAGTCTTGCCTACTTTGAAATGTACTGTTAGAGACTAAAACCAAAATGTTGATCAGCAAAGGGCAGTATGGGCATGGCCTCAGCAAGTGCTGGACAGCCTGTCTCTCATATGCTGCCTACAGATCTTCATCCTCTATCCAAGAGTTCCTAGGCAACAGGCCCTAACTGTGTGGCTGAGCTGTCTCATATTCTGCAGCATTCAAGATGGGAATCCCAGAATCTTCATTTCAATTCAGATAATATTTATTTGAGCATTTTGTGAATCAAACAATAAATGAAAACTTCCACTCTTTTCTGTGGTTAGTCTGTACTTGTGGTGCGTCACAAGTCTAACTAATGTGCAGTTTTGGTTTTTATGAAGTTAATTTTGCAGAAAGACGGAGCTTGTATGTTTGTATAGCTGCAGAGGAGACACTTGGAAGGATTGCTGTCAGCAGAGGTCATGCTGGCTTCATGTTTTTTTATCTTGAAAAGTGTGTGTGCCTGTGTGCATCTGTTAGGAATGAAGGAAAGTAAGTGCAGTAGAGGCAGATTTAATGTGATTGTGTTGTGTTGTGTTGTGTTGTCCGTGTGTCTCTGATATGAAAATCTGAGTGAATTTTGACCACACTGTACACAGCAGCACCAGTGCACGTCACCATGTTAAGAATTTGCAGCTGTTCATACAGCAGGGTACAGCCCAGTTAAACCCCAGTGAAATGCTACAGAGAGCACAGAGTAATACAATTTGTCAATAGATACATCTCTTCCTTAGGAAGGCTGACAGAAGCACAACTGGACCCATGCCTGTTTGGGAAAGTTAACACTCATCTGGGAGTTTTATTTTTCTTCCACACCAGAAAGGCTTTTCAATAGGACACAGTACTTAAAATAACGAGTCACAGTGATTGCATCTTTGCAGGTACACTTAGTGAGCTGTGCTGAGGCTCTTGCATGGTCTGTGTAGCAGCCAGCTGTAACATTGGCCTTGGCACAGGAAGAGGAGAAGAGAGGATGAACACATGCACTGGTCTCAACACCAGCTCACACGTGAAGCAGCCCTGTCGCTGTGCCTGCTCCTACAGCAGCTCTCCCACACACATCAGAGCCCTGTTTTGTGGCACTTGCAGCCCAGAGGAAACCAGTAGCTCTATGCCTTTGGCAACCACTCTGGTTGGAGGAGGGCTGGATCAGGACAGGCTCCTGCAGTGGAGCTTCCCACCCAGGCCGCTCTCTCTTACACCTGGTTTGACCATCTGCTGCTTTGTATCTCTGTTGTTAGTCCCCAGACCTTGCTGCATCTCTGTGTGCTGCCTGGCCCCAAAGCAGTATTGTGCAGTTTCCTCTTGTGAGAAGAGCTGGAATTTCTGCCAGGTCAGTCTGGCATCACTTCCTTGGTAAAGTGGTTCTGTAGACACTGATGACTTGAAGCAATGTTCTGTCTGCCTAGATTTTCACTGTTTATCTTCATAAAGATAATTAAATCTTTTAAGCCCACCTTTCTTCCTTGATACCAGCATGTTTAGACCCACAGAGCGTTTGTTCTCCACTAAGTGTGGTTAAACTTCTGCAGCTCTTTCATATAACAGGCATCACTAAAGAAATTCCTTAAAGTCTGTGTTTTGTTGGGGCTTGGTCTGGAAAGCTCATCTGAAAAGCTGTGGTGTGGTGAGTCAGTTCAATTGACTTTGTTTTTCTTGTTCATAAAGATAGGGGGGAAATAAGACTACATGTCCTCTGCATGCCTGCAGAATAGGATAAACTGTCCGTGCAGACCTTTAACAAACCTAGCTGAGGAAACCATCTGGCATTGACTTCTGGATATGTCTCTCTCAGAGTCATTTCTGCCACCGTGGTGTAGGCATGCCTGAAGGCCCACACCGTCATGGCATATTCTCAACTCTGCTTGTAAAGATAGCATAGTAGTTCTGTCCATGCCACTGTCATGGAGACGTGTTGGCAGGACTGCACAGTAACTGCAGAACCTCATTTCATGTCTAGACAATGTTCCCCTGAAAATTAGCTGAGTTCCTCTTGGGACAGCTCTTGAATGCAGGACAGTGTAGAAGCAGAATGGATATCAAATGGATTAAAGAAAATTACAGGGAATTAAACCTGGCTAGTCCTATCCTTCCTGTGGAACAAAACCAGGTCCTGATTTAGAACTTCTGTATGGATATACCTTTGTCACTTGAAGCAGTGGGGTGCTGTTCTTCTTGAAGAAGGTGCAGGAGCACATAGTTTAGATGTAGAGTTGTTGAAACATGGACTCCTTTCTCCTCTAGAGGTCAGTGCAAAGGGTCTCGCCAGTCAAGCCTTTGTGTGATCTCCTAGTCAGGTTTTATGTCTACTTGAATAATACTCTATAAAAAAGTCAGTGAAATTATTTCTAAACCCAGTGTCCACTAAGACTGCTAGAGAAGAGAAAAAGATGCTCTTCCCTTCAACATTCACCCTGTGCCCACACACACAAAATACTCATTGTTCACCTTCAATCCTTCCTTCTTCAAGACTGTATGGCAGCAATGTTATGTTGAAGTGATAAAGAGCTTCTTTTAGAGCTGGAGGAAAAAAGAAAAGTAGATGACTTTCAAGTCTCATTTCAAAGATTAAAATAAAAACCTGGGAGAGGGAATATAAAACAATATAAAAACATGGAGAGAGAATATGCTTACTGCATCTGAGCTTTTACAGCCACCTTCTGCTGTTTTCTTCTGTTTCTTAGTCAAACATGCCAACATCATATACTCCTTATGTCTTCCACTATTCCCTATTTTACCTTCCAAGGGTTTTTTTCTCTTTATTTTTTGACACATACAATATAAGAAAGAAAAATATAAAAGGGAACCTCAACTGTAGCGATCAATCAAGTTAATTTCTAGTGACCTGACATACAACACATCTAATTAAATGCATACCAAATCAAGTCTCTTTTAATCGTATGTTGTTCATTGTTTGAAATCATGTCTTAATGTTTTTATTAAATGTAAAAAAAAAACAAAATAGTGGCTTGTAGTACTAAGATTAAAAGCATTATAAACTCAATCAAGCTAGAAGTAGACAGCAGTGTCAAAGTGCTAATTAGAGCAAATCAGAATTAACAGATAGTGTTGGACTACAACCAGACCATTACATTAAAATATAATCGACACTTATGAATTCCCAAATAAGAAATCTGGAGAGAAGGCTCCCTATTTAATTATACATTCCAATTAACATCCTGGTCTCGATGCACAATCTCACTGTTGGCCCAGCTGAGTTACTTGAAAGTCACATTTGCAGTCCATTGGTGCTTCTACTTAATTAGATTGTTACAGGGTGGATCTTTGCCTGTGCTTTCTTTTGAGCACTCTCTACAAAAAAATCAGTTTTACGGCAAAGCTATGCTCTGGAGAGGTTGGCAGCTAGAGCCAAGCACTTCAAAATGCTAATTAAAACTGTGTGCTTTTTTCCCAAATAAACAACATGAACAAGTTCAAAAATATTTTACAGGAGAACATAGGTGAATTAAAATCATAAACAAATTAAAGTTTGGAAAATTTCAAATGTCTGTGCATGTATGTACTAGATCTGATTGTATTCTTAGACAATAAAACATTAAAAGGTCCTTCCCATTCAAACAGAAGAGCAAAGGGCAACTGCTAACAAGATGAAATGTGTTACAGCTATTCTCTTCATCTAGTCCACATTCTCACACAATGAACAGTTTAAAAAGCCAGCAAAATATATAGAAAGTTCATTAAATCTACAAAACAGTTTCAAACTAATGTGAAAGGCAAAGGCCATGCAGACTTAGGCCAACAGTTAGGCTGTTGTGCACAGTTTCTGGGGCTGGATGCTCCTGTGTGACACCACCAGTCTCAGTGCAGGAGATTGGAATTGTTCAGTTCTTAGCCCTTCTTAAAGGGCAGTTTTTTGCACTCTGGCTTCAGTTCTGTGTGTGTAATTTTTGCTGGTCAAACCACCCAAAAAGTGACAGATGTGTATTTAAAAAGTCTTTAAAACAGGGAGAAAGATTAAAAGAAACTGGAGGGAAGAGTAAACTAACTGTAGACACAGTAAGAGCTGTAGAAAATATATCAAGGACTGTTGCAAAGAGATGGGGTATAACCTGACAGAGAGTAAAGAAAATGAGTTGAAAATGCAGCAGGAGGGATGATGTGCAGGCATTAGGAAAAAATACGTTATCATTCAGGATGGCAATGTACTGGGAAAAAATACCTCAAGAACTTGATGCAGGTATCATGAGTATTCCCAATTTCAAAACAGGTTGGACAGGCACCTGTAAAATATACCTGAGCATTTGCTACCTGTAGCCTCTTTCTAACCCTAGCTGACAGTGATCACAGATGGGGCAGGCTTCATAGCACTTTATCACAGGAGGGAAAAGGATGTCACAGATTGCCTTTATGTACTAGTGATACCCTGTGGGATCAGCAGAATGGCTTATTGACTCAATGCAAATTACAAACAGTTGACTACTAGGCACTGAGCTCAGACTTTGGAAGTTTAAATATGTTTTGTGATTGCTATCTGACCAATTTCTTTTTGAACAAGATTAAAATAACTCTTTACTTGAGTGAAAATTTGGGATCATGTTCCAGTTTGGGGTGAAAAGCTACTTCAGGACATCAACACTGGAGCTGCTGAGAAAGATTTAAGCTGTTCCTTTCTCATTCTCTGAGTTTATATGGGCAGTATTTCTGTCATGGTATTCTATCCCATGCTTACTTCCATTTTTTAGCATGCTTGTCTTCAGCTGTGATCCAGTTATGCTTTTTTATTTGCAGCCTTTGGGGTGTTTGTTATTTTGTAAAAGGCAGTATTTCTCTTTCTTAGAGGAGTTGATGTAGAGTGACTAAAGAGGTAACACTAGGTTTTAGTCAGGAATTGCTGAATTCTGCTTGTCAGTCCGTCTGTGAGCTAAGATAAGCTTATGTGAGGACCCTTGTTCCTTAAATACATTTTGTCTCTTAGCCGCTTGCTGGCATCTTCTGTTGCAGAATGTTTTATACAGAGCAATACCCTGCTCTCACTCAAGTGCCACTGCCAATCTCACAGTTTTCTTGGCAAATATTAGAAACTCGAACCTTCAGTATTGTATTTAAGATGGATTCTGTTACTTCACTGCAAACATCTATGGCATTCAGATCATGTCTTGCCATGGGTTATGCTCTTGAGTACCTGTGAGGAACAGTTTTATGCAGATATATGCAAAATGAGCATAGCTAGTGGCTGAATTATTCTACATCTAAAGTTGCGTTTTTATTCTCTTCCAGCCATACTATTAGAAGACAGAAATTCCAGTGAGAGTGCCTGGAAGAATAAAATTTCTATATCTGCCCTAAACACTCCAGAGCCAGCAATGATGCACGAGCCTTTAGTTGGCAGCCAGAAAAGGAAAGCAAGGAAAACTAAGATCACACATCTTGTCCGAACAGCAGATGGACGAGTGTCACCAGCAGCAGGGACACTGGGTAAGGAAATTGGAGTTAAAATTTCATTAAAACTGAATGGTTGGAGAAGGTTTGAGGGTACAAGCAACAAGCAACCTATCAGGGCAGTATTTTTTAATTAGCTTGTTTTCTTACCTGCTTAGAATGGTCATTATTTAATATACAGCTATCAACCACCTGGGAAATCACTGAGTCCATAATGGCCAACTTATTTTATTTGAATGACCAAATTTATCTTTTCTCCCTGGGTATTTCACTCTAAGAACTGTGAACTGATGCAGAGAGAAATGGAGAATGGTTACCTTTCAAAATTTGTTTCCAGTAATGCCAGAGTCCCTGCTGGAGTTCTCCAGTAAGATAATCTTTCAGGACTGCTGTATCTAAAACATACACAAAAGCTCTCTTGCCTGAGCGAAAAGATGAAATTCAGTTGAATGCAAAATCAGTAAACTGCTTCATAAACCTTAGTACTGTGCTTCTGACCCAGTAGCTTGATTCAGAAGAGGTTACAGCATGAATCCGATGACACTGGCAGAATCAAAATCCTAAAGGTACAGGTTCTGTTAAAGCCAGACTAGTCAGCATATCAATAGCTGCAGTGGATTTATGGACTATGTCTGCATACTTAACTTTCTTTCTTTGCAGAGGAGAAGCCAAAAGAGCTGCCACAAAGTACTCTTCAAAAATCATCAAGTGCAGAAGCAGACTGCAACAGTGAATGCTCCAGAAACACAGAGACAGAAGAAAATCATAGTATTACATCAGATATGCCAGCGGTGTCTGCATTCTTTAGCTTAGCTGCTCTGGCAGAAGTAGCAGCCATGGAAAACGTACACAGGTATGGATTTCTTTTCTTCTTGCTGTCTTAAGTAAATAGCATGTGGCTGACAGCTTGTTCAGAAAGCATGTGAATAGCAGACTGTTTAATTTGGCCTGCGTTTCCCCTTCCACAGCTTTCTATGAATGTCTGCTTTGCCCCACTTGCTTAGTATTATTAAGTCTTCACCTAAATGACAGTGTAATCTGTTTAGCAGTTAGTAAAATGAACCTTCTCAGTAAGCTTACGTACCAATTTTTGTATGTAAACAGGTTCATATGCTCCTTAAGATCCTAATGATTGAGAATTATCAGATGCTATGTGTGAGATAATAGCAGATTTAAATAACTACTGCATGATGATTTGCATTTTCCAGTTGCCTAAAACCTAAGATGGTGGAGAAAATTTAATACATTTTGAGATTAATTTTTTTGTGCTGAACATGGCTGAGGGAAGCTAACTAGTTATTCTTACTCCTGTGCTTTGCTGTGTAAAAGGCAAAGCATCTGCAAAATTGCATGGGGTAGAACAACTCTGGCTGATGGAAAGCCATGGTAGCTTAGGTTGGTCCTCTCAGTTATTGAGTAGGCCATCCATACAGATCAGGTGGAGAATTACTTACTTATGAATCGGTACAGAATGGTCAGACCTGTGATGGGAGTAAATAAATTACAGCAGGTCCTCCTTGGCTCTTGATTATCCAGTGTTGTTCTTTCATGGAACTTACTGGATATGAAACCCCGTCCTCTCCTGCAATGAAAACTTGTTGAGGGAGCATTGGGCCGGTTTGAAATCATCACAGCCTCTGCAGATGCCATTTGACAGATTGCTGGCTGCCTAATGATTGCTGCTCCTCAAGGCAGCAGTTCATTAAACCATTCATCAACCTCAATTAACTGTTCCTCTCATGGGCCCCATTGATGAACCCAGTCCTTTGTGTTCTGGCTGCACATCAAATGCTCAAAGGCTTTTTAGAAGCTCAGGAACCCTAAAAGAAATAGATCTGCTGGTTCCTCTCTGCAGAAGGTGTTGTCTTGCTTAAGCAGTGTTGGGTGAGAAATTATTTCACACTGCAGTCAGTCTGTCTGTCATCATAAGCCACATAAGGGAACTTGTGGAAGTGCTGTGCTAAGCTCTGCTCTCACTCACACCATTGTGGTTTCATTGACTGCCATTAACACTGACCAGAAATGCACAAAAGCAACAGGATTTGCTCTGCTGTGGTTTTTCTTCCTTGTGCCTCTTTAAAGTTCTTGTCCTCCTCTTGTCCTTGTTGAAGTGAGCTAATGTTTTGCAGAGCTTTGTGCTTGGGTCTTTCTCTTTGAATGCCATCTTTTGTCATGTCATTATGTAGCTTTGGCAATGCAGCACCTTTCATAAGGCCTGAAAATACCAAATGGGCAAATATCCCACAACTGTTGGAAATGCCATTTGGTAATCATCCTGAGGAATGTGAAATGACAACAGGGGAGGACTCTTCCAGTAGAAAGTTAGCCACGTCTCTCACTGACTTGGCAAATGGAAGTCAAAACAGAAACCTAAATCTTACAGGCTAGATGCTTCTCTGTTTTCTACTCTGCCAACTGTTGTTACTTTTTGTAACTCACTTTATTTGCAAATATCCAGAAATGTGAAGAAAAGAATTGGAGGTTTGCTTGATGTGTTTCTTCAGTGTCTGAATGTATTTTTTTTAATAGTTTCATAGAGCCTTGGGACATGGAGTCCTTCTGGCAGCGTGGTTTTCATTTGAAGTCTTCTGCTTATCTTCATTTACCTTGTGCATGCCCTGATTAAGCACTGTGAGTCTGAGCTGCATTTTGTGCCAGGGCCACTTCATTGCACTCCCCTTGTGTGAAGCACTTGAGTACCTCTGCTGGGGGTTTCTGCTGGGGATCTTAGTTTGGCCAGAGTGAGGTAAAGTGTCCCTGGTGTAAATAAGAAGCAGGCCCCAGATTTTCATTGCTACCAATAACAAATACTGTAACAAAAATGTGAGAGTAAATAACAGGCAGTGACATGCTTGGTGTATGTATTTTTAAAAGGCAAGCTGCAAAGGAATTCTCCCAAGTCCATTTGATACCATGACTGATGTTGATTTCCAGCACATAATTCTGGTACAGTTTATTTTTACAATACCCTGTGCCAAGAGATCATTTTTAAATTAACACTGCTGTAGTAATAAAAGAGTTGTGCTAGGCTGATGTAGTCAGGTAACGTGGAGGAATCCCAGTGCAACTCTGCTGATGAGTATATTTCCATATTGCTTAAAAGCTGTCTGTTGACTCACACTAACATGATCTGTGCCTCTGTGCATTTACCTTTTGCCACACATACTATCTGCTCTGCTTCTGAGGGCTGCAGCAGCTCCCTTACAAAATGAGTCACAGCACTTGTGTGCTCTTAACTTACTCTCATGCTCTGGATTTTGCTTTGTGTAGTCAAATACCATCACATCTGGTTTTTCCTGCCTTTTCATTGTGATGTAGGTTGTCCTGTTGTATGTATTACTGTTGTAGGGACTCCTCTGAAAGCAGGTGTAACCAGAGTATGTGAGCACCTGCAGCAGTGAGGAGTTACCGTGTGTCTGTGTCGGGTGCTAAACCCTGCAACTGCTGCTTCCTGTCTTTTCTGGTCTGATAACAGCACCTCCTGTGCTCTCAGTATTGATGGGTGGCTTTTCTTCTCTTCTTTTGCAGAAGTCAGAGGGCCACACCTCTCCCACATGATGGACAGCCAAATGAAATGTCTCAGGCTCCAGTGCTTATTTCCTGCGCTGACCAGTGAAGCTCCACTTTATTGTAAAACATTGTGCTTTACCTAATATCCTAGCCTTGTCTTTACCAAGGGAAGCTAGTCAGTCCATATGATGGAACTAGAGACTGCAATAAAGTACTTATTGCTCTGAGTGGCCCAGAATTCACTGGAAGCCAGACATTAGCAACTTGGGCCAGGTCCTCAAATTGGAACCCAGTATGTAGGAGGGTGATACTGTCTATTAATGAACTGAAATGGAGTGGAATGATCCCAGAGCTTGCTTTCTATTGAAGGCTTTTAAACAGTAAACGGGTGGTTGGTGTGAAAAAGGCTGCCTTTACTGTTAGCTCACACAGCATCTCTTTTACCAACCAGAGAGTACGACAACTAGTTTCATATAATATCTAGTTATTCTAAATGAAAAAGAAAAAAAAAAAAAACAACAAAAACACTGACGCACTGCACTAGTTACTATTAGATATTCTTAGTCATTTTTGTACATGAAGATTTAAGTTCTAAGATGGTTTATATTAATAGGTTATGCCTACGTTTATATTGTAGAATGAATTTAAAACCTGTTCCAGAGAACTCAAGGCAGCCTGGACAGATGTACCATTGTTAGCGGTGTTTGGGCAGCCACGTGGTCCAGATGTTCTGCACTTTTATATTTGCCACCGGAGTGGTAGAGTTTACTGGGAAAAGTTCTGACAGGCTATGTTTGGGTTTGTTTCTTTTTAATTTAGCTTTGAATAACCAGGATGATGTGCATTAGAAAAAGGTGTGGTGTATGGAAAAGAAAATATTGCAGATAATTGACTTGTCTTTCATGCCTTGGAGGGTTCCTTTATTTTTGCATAGATATCTGAGCAACTTGGTGAAACTTTCCTGTAAACAAAAAGTACTGCAAATGCGTTTTTCAAAAGTGACCTTAGTATTATTTCACAATTCTGAATAACTTAAAACCATGACGTTTCGATATAGTGTACACCAATACACATACCTTTTGCATTTTACAGACACTGGCATTGTTGTAGTTACTATGCACAGTCCAAATCGGCTTCAGAGTTTGCATAAAGGGCCAACTACAGTTTGTGTTGGTAAAGTGGAAAGCTGTATACAGTTAAACTACAACTGAAGAGTAGCGTTTGACTGAATTCAGACTACAAAACAGATCCATCTGCCAGTTTCTGTCTCTGCTTGTGTTGAATTTTTGTGTTTTGCTGTCATAAATACATCCCAAAAGCAGGCCAAGTGTATCACTTGACCTGTTACCTTCACTATTCTGACTTACACTATTGTTTAACCAAGCATTGATTCCTACAAATAGATGCAAAATGATCACTAGTAATTGATCTAAAGCTACAAATTCAACAGGGTACTTCTTCTATAGCACAAGATGTTTCCCTACTTTTTGCATTGTAGCACAACAATTTACCAAATTGGACTCCAGCAATAATTTTCTATTAGTCTTCGTCATACCGGCTGAACTTTTGATAGTATTAGATTGAGTTTGAAGTTCTTTGAATTAAGTCTTTAAATGATGCAAGTTTACATCATTCTATCAGGCATTCTTATTTATACTTGACTGAATTGATAATGTGTTTTGAGGTTATTTTGTAACTAATTTGATGTAATAGCCATATGGACAGTAATTATTAATGCTTGCTAGGTTTAGCCTTTCATTGTTGTAGTTAAGTGAAAGTCTCTGGTTCAGTGTCAGGAAACAACATACAGTGTACCACAAGAGTTTTAAGAAAGGATTAAAGGTCTGACAAAAGGCACATAGCTGGGGAAGTGTCACTGAAACAGCAACATCGAGGATGCATGTGGTGAAAGAAGGGAACAAGAGAAGAACAACAAAATTTACAAACCAATGAGTCAGTGAAAAGGCTTTTTTAAAAATTCAGGTGACTAAATGTCTAAGAGCCCCTAGAATGCTATTGCAGCTTATGGTGGTATTTTAAATAAGATTTTATTAAAGTTTTATAAGTTATTTTAACAAGACAGGAAAAATTTAAAAGACTTAAAACTTGTGGGTCACAGCAGGGTGGCTTTTGGAGTTTTGGACCACTTTATAATTAGCTGAAATCCAAATATGTTACAGTGCAGGCCGTTCACGTTGACAATGGTACTAACTTATTTCTCTAGAAACCTTTAGAGTAGATATATTTTTGTCAAAGCACCCCATCCTTCCTCGATTTAAATTTCAATATTGTTCCTGGAGATATTTCTGTATATTAATGGTACCTTTTTTAAAAGAAACAGAAAATTACTTTTTTCTATATTAATTAATATCTTACTTGATCTGCTTTTCCTTGACTTTCCCTTAGAGAGGGGGTAGGGTTGGGTCAGTTTACTGGATATGACTGTTTTCAGATACTTACAAACCTTTTTGTAGATATGCTTAATTTTTAAGCGATTAGGCACTGAGAGTAGCAGAAATCCTGCAAAGCTTTATAGTTCACTAGGCATTTGCCTTTGTTGGTTCTATGAGTGATGTCTTGATTTGAGTAGCTAGAATTTTCCCTGAATCTACTAGAAGGGGTATCAGTATTTTCAGGTAACAAAGTCTGTTAGCACAACAAAAACTTCAGACCAATATCTTACTGTATTGGGGTTGGGTTTTTTTTCCTTGTTTGTTTTGTTTTAATTTTTATTAATTTCAGCTGCTTTCATTTTGGAAAATCTTACTGCTATTGTGTGTACTTCAGTATACCAGCAAACACTGTTACCTGTTAACACATTGTCCACAAATGCCTCTAGAGAAGAAATTGTTGCACCTTATGTATATCTCAAGCAAACCAAAATATGATGCTTTTCTGCTTTGTTTATTCTGAATATGTTGTATCATACTTTACTGAACCCATTTTAACTTAGCTAAAGCTATCAATATTTATGCATTTCACATTATTTTCTGGATCTGAACCTGTGTATAAATCTTTCTTTAAAAAAAAAAAGACAAGCATTTACTGTAGTTGTCCTCTATGACTTATCCATGGGAGGGGGGAATCTTGTCTCAAGTGTAAAATGCAGTACTGTCCCAGTTTTACTTGGCTTTTATTTATTTTGTCATCTTCAGTATTTCATAGTTCTGAGGCATACGAAATGCATTGTCATGGCCGAAGCTACAGATCTAAGAAGCTGGGAGAAAATTACTGTAATGTCTTCTTAATTGTTCTAGTACTGTATACAAATATGGGAAATATGTTCTGCAGAACATTTGAGATGCAGATTCTTATCCCCACAGTAGGCTATTTTCCAGGTATTAGACCAAATCAATCAAAACTTCATATCTTACAGGTCTTTTCTGACTAAATTATTCTGAAAATATTTATGGAGATTACTTAATGCTCTGCTTCTGGCAGTAAGTACCCCTTGAATGTGCTGTGATTTCAGAAAAGAATATATTTATTTAAGCTCTCTGAATGCTCTTTTATACTAATACGGTATCCCAAAGTCAGGAGCAAGAGATTTCTTGGTAGTTTGGGTTTCTATTTTATAGCACTGGTGCATGACCTTTGAAATTAAAGTGATAAGCGTTGTTGGAGAGGGGCACCAAGAACAAGGGACTGGTAGAAGTGTGTGGATTTGTGGTGTTTAAATTCCAGCTTTGGTCTGTATTATTTGGGTGAAAGCTGCCTTTGTAGCACAAGGCTGAAGAGTATTCTGTAGTTTGTATCAAGTAGAGAGTTGTAAGTCACGTCAGTACAAGGGAATGCCTTATAGTTTGGATGCTGTCTTTTGCAACAGGATATTAATTGAAACAATTTTAATTTTCACTGCCTGTTTAGCTACTGTACAGATACTGAACCAACTGAAAGCAAGTTATAGACATGGGGCAGCTAAGAGCATGTAAGGAAAGCTGTCCTTTATTCTCAGTATGGCAACATTATGGCAACAAAGGAGAATTAGAAAAGAATTTAGATGTGTATATATAGGGGTGTGTGTGTGTGGGTGTGTGTGTGTGCGTGTACCTGTGTGTGCCTGGGTGTGTACATTCTGCAAAAAAATGATGTAGGAAACCAGAAACATGATGGGTCTACAAGACACTATAATGTATGTTGACCCTTTGGAGTGCACTCCCTTTTTTTTTGAATGCTGAGTCTAATATGGCTACCTCTCCTAAAAGACTACTTTTGTTAACTTCCATTTACTTTTAGGCATGATCATGTAATCTTTTTGGCCATTGATACCATTTGTATATCGCTGTGTGCTTTATTTTCCAAGAGCAACATATATATAGCGCAGACACCATAAAGGCTGAATATACAGTAGTAGCCAAACTATGTTGCTGGAGCATTTTTGTTTAGCCTCTGCCACAATCCTATGGGTTGCAGGACCCACTAGCTCTGCTTGGTTCAGTGAGATCAATTTCTGTAAGAGCAGAAGATGCAGTGCTTGAAGGGTGGTGGACTTGTGATGTTTCCAGAGGTGTCGAGTAAGCTACATGCTGCTCTTGAAACAGCTTCTGGAGTTTACGTTCACAGTCCTGATTTTGCAAGGAAGCATAACTGTACAACTTGGGTGTTGTATACCCTACATTATCCATTAGATGCCGTTTGTTTGCTGTGCTTGTTTGATAGGTTGTAGAGCTCCTTTGCCATGTTTTGCAATACTCGTGGCATTCTCCCTACCCTGTATGTATTTTTGAACTGTCAACTACAGCTGCCAGGATGCTGAGGCCCTTCAGGACACTGAGTGCCATGAACAAGTACATATTTAGGCTGTGAAAGGGTTACTTGCCTCCTCCCCTGAATTCCCCAAGAAAAAGGCACAGTGAGGTTTATGGTCTCACCGAAGTACTACCATAGTCATTTATATACTCAGTATTCTGTACTGAATTGACAACTTTGAAGAAGCTTATAAGATGAATGTCTATTTCATGTTCCCCCACTAATTCTTTGATGGCAGAAATCTAGGAAGACTTGACATGAGATCTCCACTTAGCAACACACCCAGGTGTAGGCTGGAAACCCCTCTTAAGGGGCAGCATTGTTGTCATTGTGACAGTGTGGGAGCCCCGATCACAGACCACTATGCTTTTGGATTTAAGCTTGGGCTTGCATGGTGTTCATGTCATCATGACCTAGGGCCTTCATTGAGGTGGAATTTTAAAACTACTGCAAATAGCTTAACATCTATGGAGTTCTTCCAAAGAATTATACTGTAGTTTCTGAATCTTGGCTGTTTAGCATATACTAGGAGACCTGCGCTGTACTCCACTGGAAAAACCACATCTGTTCAGGAAAACTGACTGGGCTCCCAAATGTAATGCTCCTCTGCTCTTTTCAGCTCCAAGCTGAAACCTTGTTTGCCCCTCAGTACTGCTGTACTTCAATCAGTGGTTGGGTCTTTGAGGGCAACAAAGGCAGGAGAGGCATGTACTTGCCTGTGTCTGCATGTGTGTGTACGTACACTCACACACACAGTGGAGTGCAGTGACTTCCAGCATGTACTCTGCGCTAAAGTGTTCCTGTGTTTGCTCATAAAACAAACAACTTTGAAGTTTTTCAGACGATAGTTTTCCAACTTCCTTGCTAGATTTTAGTATCTTTTCTTCACATTAAACAGCATAAGGTGTGAATTTCAAAAGTCACATCTGAAAAAAGCACAGAACCTGTTGACCTGGATCTACAAAAACCTTCTTTCTCAGCAGTGCTTGCTTTTAATAACCAGTATCTGTTGACAGTTTCAACACAACTGATTTGCTATGATCTTTTTTCTTGGAGCCCAATCCTTCAACTTCTATTCTCACATGTATTTCCACTGAATTTCGACTTAGTATATAGTTTTATTCTTTCCAAAGTTTGGTGTAA